AGGTCGGAGAAGTGGAGAGAAGAGAGTGACTGGCGGAAGTCACGTGGCTACACCCGACCGTGCGTTTTTTTTTTTTTTTTTTCTCCTCTCCGGTAGCAGACGACACGACATGCGGCGTGCGGGAACTGCTTGCCGTGCGATTCTTTTGCAGTTATGTTTGTTCCGCTCGTTGTTCTGTACTCCAAGATGAGTTGTTTTGTACATTGAGGAGTTGGAGATGAGTAGTGAGTTTCCATGATCGGCTCCGAAAAGAATAAACCCAAGATGTTGCGTGAAGAGCTGGCTCACATGTCCTGCATCCGAAAAAAAGTGGCATTGTGCGACAGTTTCCGAAAGATCAACGGGATCGGGACCAATGGCTGGCTGCAATTCCTGTTGAACATTTACGGGCACCTCGGAAAGCGGACGCTACCTGATTTATAAGCTTTTTGCATTTTGTGGAAAGTGATTACATTGAGTTCGCGGGTGTCAAAACGGAAATCCCATACCATTTAATTCAGCGAAGTATCGTCCACAACATTTGTTTGTTATTTTTTTGTTTGTTTCTTCAGTGATGATTGTAAAAAAAATAAAGATATGTAAACATCAGAAAATGTTTGAAAAAAAAAAATTCACGGGGTATCGAACCCGGTCTACCGCGTATGAAGCGGACGTCTTTCCCACTGAGCTACTGGGCAACTCGTTTCTGGTGGATCTCTTTCCTTAGTAATAATTCAGCCGGTAAACTGTAAGTTGGAAAGTTTGCTGTCGATTTTTCTCTAGCAAAAGCACTCCCGGGTCGAAGTCGGGAAGCACCACGCTTTGGGGACATTCGCACCTAGTAAAGAAATCGTACGCGTGCATATTCAACTCGAAGTAGACACGTCGTGCTTGACGTTTGCACGAGCGTTGTCTTCAGCCACGAGAAGGGAGCGACGGCTCGGCGACGTCTTCGTGCAAATCGGCTTGGTGGCCGGGCGTGTCGTACGGGATGAATACCAATTCTTTTGATCAGTCCCAAATTTCTCTTTTAACGGTAGACAGAATTCGCCGGTACCGCGAACGACAGTTCTGAAATAGAGGTCCCACGCCCGTCGTCCGCTGCCATCGCCGTCCCCGCGAGTCCCACGATACGCGAAACGACGAACGCACAGAATGCTTCCGGTTGTCTGAGGAACTTTTTTTTTCAAGCAACGTATTTACAGCCTTTTAGAAGCCACAAAAAATGGGTTTCATATTTTTTTCTATTTTTAATACTGAGTGTGTGCCTTCAGTGACCCACGACTTCGATTAAATTTGGTGGTCGCATCGATACCTTAGAAAACGGCCCGTGACCGCGAAAAAGAGAGTGAGCGAGACTCGAACCGGCCAGTTTTTGATCGGCGGTTTTCGGGCGGAAAGAAACCGAATTTCGAGCCGCAAATTCTGTTCTGGGTAGTTGAGCTCTCATATGTCACGTACAACTAAAAACCTCGGCGAGCATGAATACCCTGTCAGTGTCCCTTTAAAACGGCTTCCCGTATTCAAATTTCTGAAGGTGCCACAACGTGAAGTTTGAAATGGGGCTGCAATGTGCCATTTATTACACAGTAAAAACAAAATGTGTAGTTTTAACGTCTCTCATGTAATGGGACTGGAGAAAAATCAATAAACGGATTTATCAGTTGATTAGTCTATGAAAGAAGGGTGGTGATCAGTCAAGTCAATTTTTTAATGAACCCCCAGGTCCAATCAGCATTCTATGTTTTATGAAAGCTTTGGATTGTACGAGATAATAAAAATATGCTGGACCAGCAGTTCTACAAACACCAACGTTAAGATTACGGAAGCATTTGACTTATATTTATCGCACTCCTGAATTTCCATGCCTGTGAAATAATAAAACACAACCCTTAAAAAAAAGAAGCATATAATAGGGAGGGTCCAGCTCAGCCGGAAACAGGCTTACGTCATCAAGAGCTATGCTTCTGAACGTGCACTCGTAGCGGACGATGCACGGCGGTATTGAAATAAAGTTTATTTTCATAAGTTGAATTTATTACAACTTCGCCTCCAGCCGTCGGTCACTACAAAAGAAGTCTTCAACTCCAACCAGCATCCGGGCCACACTTTCCACAAACTCCCCCCTCCCCTCCCCTCCCCTCCCCTCCCCTCCCCCCCCCCCCCCCCCTTCCCCCCCTCTTTGGCGGTAGCTCAAGGTGCTCCCTTGAGGTCCGGGACCAAAACAACCTAACATCTCTACTGACGGTATACAATTAGCGTCAGATCATGAGGCCGCCGGTTCTAATTTTGAGCTGAGGAGGAGAAAGCTGTTTCTTTGCGTTTCTTTTTTCTGCATCTTCTTCTATTGCACAGAAAGGAAAACTAATGGGTGCTTTTGCAAGTTATAACGTCAGGGATCAGTTCTTAGCGGTGTTTACTGAAAGTACAAAAATTGTGGCATGACTGATTTTACATGCACACATCATTGAGGCACCCATACATGTTATTGCTGTTGCCAAACTGCTCCGGAAAGTCTGTTGCCAAACTGCTCCGGAAAGTTGTCCCCGAGAATAAAAGCATTTAAGTGACTAAATGTGACATCAGTCTGACGTTACATAGAAGTACAACTGTGCACGAAAGGGACACCTTTAAAGGTCCTAGTGGCCTCAGAGGGACAGCCGAACGTTGGCAGCCGCTCTTAAGTGTCGTTCTCAAGTTCTTCCCCAAGCTTCGACCACCTCCACATTTTGCTTAAACTTTACAGATTTTGAATGCAAAATAAAAGCAATTGAGGATTACTGTTAATAAGTGAAACATAATTGTTGCATGAACACCCCCAAATGGAGGAAAGTCCTTCAGGAAAAAAAAAAAAGGAGGAGGCAGGAGAGAGTTTTAAAAACAAACTCTGTTGTAAAGGTCCCTCCTTCCCGAATCTATGGCACATACTAGTGGCACCGGCAACTACTTTGTTTGCAAAAACACTATTGCCAGAAAGCGTGTTTTTATTGTGCCAGACGCTTGATGACGCTGCACCAAACAAAAATAATTTGTGTCTCTCAAACACATGGCTCGCTGTGAGCGTAAAACTTTCGCAATGTGCATTTTGCATCACCGTTTTTGATTTTCTCAGCAAGAACCAATCGCAAAGACCACCAGCATATAGAGCTATGACGTCACATATGTGCGAGCTATGTGAAACAGTTCAGTTTTCTCCAGAAATCCGATGTTCGCAACACTAGCAAACATTGTAAAGTTGTGCAGTATATACAGCAGTCTCGCGATGATATACGGCAGTTCAATGAAATGTTAGAGTGCATGACTGATAAAGCACAGCGCTGTAAAGTGAGGGCACAAAACAAGTGTATGTAAATCAGAATTTAATATTAGCCTCCTGAGGCAGTATTTTGCAAGGTTTCAAGTTCATGCAAGCCGGTGCCTAAATAAATGTGACTTATGTTAGGATTATAAGAATATTTGTCTGTCCTTTGCGCTGTTTATGTGTAAGTAGGAATGTCACTACATGTCTGTATTTCTTTTTGCAGTAAGGCTTTGTGGATCAAATTCTTTTGCATAATACCTTTTATTATCACTCTCTTCATATTTCGTCTATTTGTCTTCAGATCTATTATGTGAGCACAAAGTCCTTTCTGGCCTACACCCCGACCAGGTGTTTCACACTGCCAAACAGTGAAAAAAAGGAAGAAAATAAAATGTTTCTTTTCCCGTGTCGGTAACCAGCGGTTATGTGAACTTCATACAGTCAAATTTTTTAACAATAATAAAAGCATACTTAATTATTGACTGAAGATTTAACATAAATAAAGGTCGATCATATTAAAGACATATCATAAGTGTACCCCCAAATTATCTGGAAAAGTCTGCAAATCTTTCAAGCACTTAAACGTATATATTAAAATTCCTATTTTTTTTTTTTGTCAAAAGGTGTATATTTCTCTGCAGTTCAACAATTTTTTTCAGACACACTAGACACAAAATTTGTAAAAAAAAAAGAAAAAAAGACAGCAATATGCGAACGAGCATACATTTAAGTTTGTGTGCCAGAAGTTTGGATACCTTGTGTTGAAAGCTAAAGGTGGTGCATTTGTATCACGAAACAATATTTGCCTACTGTGTGTTGTTATTCATTTTCACGCGAGCCTTACAATAAATATTGAGCATCAATCCTAATTATACTTGGTACATATTTTGAGGCCAAACCCATTAATAACTTAGTTAAACATAAAATGGTGCAAAAAAAGACAAGGACAAGAAGTATACAGGACAAATGCTACAACTGTTACATTAATAGCTGTTACAAGTTTCAGACGTAGAAACCGGGCAGCAGTTGTTGAAATTGATTGTGAATTAAGCCTATTTTACAAGAAATATAGCTCTCAATATAAAATAAAAATGAAAAAAAAAAGACGATAATCTGCAAAGCAAGCACTCTTTATCTACACCTCTTAAAAATTTCAAACCAATTCAGTCCAACATTGAACTCTGCCCATTTGTACTACGAAACCATGTACAGCCAAAATGTCACTTTTCACATGTTCCCAACAAGCCGAATTTCGAACCGACTCATACATTTTTTGTATCAAGATGAAGACCATTTCCTATTTTATATATTCACAACTAATAAACATTTTTAGGAAGCAATCAAGCCCGACAACTGTGATTCAAACACCTGCTTAGGTATATCCTATTCTTTTTCATGGCCGCCATGGGGCCTCAGCCTTCAAGCTAGGGATGACTCTTAACAACTATTGCACACCGCCTATCTTAATGTCTTCTCGCTCTGCCGTTGGCTAATATGCCATTTACACTCTAAAACCACATCTACTGACAGAGTGAGCAAAAGAAAAACCATAAAACCTCCCTCAAAATGTCAAAACCTCCGCTGGCGTACAGCAACACCAAAACATTCCCAAAACTGCTTTACTAGATTTTTCGTTCTTTTTTTCAAGCTCTACATTAGCTTGCTTATTTCAGAAGTAATGAATCAGAACAGCACAAAACAAACAAGCAAAACAACCAGATTGATTTCCCAGCATTTTTATTAAGTGGGATTGGCGCATTCCAGACCTAAAGGGCCCATTGAAATCAAAATACCGCCACCCTCTTTAAACAACAACTAAGGCAAAAATGCCCCAAATGCCAACCAACATGTTCCCGTGGTGACTACCCTACCATTGACACCTTTCATGTGCCATTATTCACAGAATCCGATTTCGGCTAGGTAAAGCTAATCACAGGTTTATCACAGTTAGAGGAGGTCACTTAGGGACTGTTAGAAACTGATCCCCAGGCGCAGCTAACAAATTCCCACGCTTTCTCTCAAACAACATAGCATTCGATGTGTGGCAGGATAAGCAAAGGGCAGTTTAGATCCTACCTTACTGATAGCCAGTGCTACCTGCAACTAAGGGACTGAGCAACAAGCAAAGTCGCAAATGATGCCATGATGAAGGCACCTGCTGGAATGGAGGACAAGATCCACCACTGGCTCCCTGTGAGAAAGAGATCACTAGCTCAATACGCCACACAATACCTCCAAAACATGTTCAAATATGTGAAAAACAATGAAAGTAAAGCAGAAACAAAAATTTAAACCTTTTTATAATATATTACTATGCCAGTCCAGTCTTTTAGATGGCAAGGAACACAGCTGTACTACTATGAATGTACATATTATTACAGAATTACAAGTATGTAATTAAGTGTCAATGTCATAACTGGCAGTTCTAGTGCTGCCTCGAGCTATTGAATAGGTTGTGAATAAAGGTAACATCACTGAGGCCATACTGCTGTGAAAGGTGAGTGTTAATGCTTGCCACAGTTGTTGTAAAGAGAAGTGCAGGAAATTAGGTCAGCCCTGCTGCTTGTTAAACAAGCCCGCAAGAGAGAAAAACGACACCATTAGAGCAGGCCACGGCCCAATCTAAAATGCAGTCACTGTTCAGAATCATAATAGTCGCCAAAAGTGCCTGCAACACTCCGTGGAACAGAACGGTGGTGCTCACAAGCCGCTCAGGGAAAAGGGTGTGCTCAAAACATAGCTATCGAGAGGTTCTTGTCATGGCGCTGAACAAGATCTACCTAAAACGCACTGTGCCAAGAAAACGCAGAAGCTTGCCCCCCGTACACTACAAAACAGCAAGCAGACAGTGAAATCACTTCAGGTTAGACAAGTTTATCCATGTGCTGCAAGTACTACTCTGCTTGCTGTTCATGAACTTTTTTTTACCGTTTCTCATGCACATCACACTTATCTTGAAATTTGGAATCATCTATGAGGGAACACTTGTGTTCCTCCCAATGCGTTTGGAAAATGCTTGTTTTTTTGTTTGTTTTCAAAAGAAATGGAAGGGAAGAAAAATAAGAAACAAAACAGCACACACGAAAATCACCGGTGCAAGACTGACAATACAGAAAAAAAGAGCATTCTGCATTCAAGCCGACACGGCTGCATATCTGAGATCTCTGTCGATTACATGCAAAAGAGGTGAGATAACCAGTATGTGTAGCATAAACTCTGCCGTAATTAAACAAGCCTAGCCTCAACATATGCCAAACTCAAGCGTTCCACAGAGCAGGCTTGACACCCGTGCAAAGTATGCTCTTGTACAAAAGAACCAGGCAGTGGAAGGATGCAGTCACATCTAAAGACTGGCATAGTTTAGCTTCATGAGCACTCTGCCAAAAGGAGGCAAAATGTATCTTATTCAGGAAGGCATAATGCTGCCGTCGTTGAGTATGGGCACAAAGCGAACCCTGTAAGCACAAGCTTGTAATTCTGGGTCATGCTTGTGCTTCATGGGTGCATGCCTGTCAAGGGCGACAGCCGGAGTTAGGCTACTGCGCCCAGTTTTTAAGCTTAGGTAAAATAAAGCATAGAAAGGCAAAAACAAAATCACAAGAAAAGCCATCCTGGCATTGCCAGATCCACAAATATGACTATATGAAGGTTGCACTTCAGTAAAAAATACTACACCTCAAACTTGATATGAGAAATATTGAGGATTGTGTCACTCACATTACATTACAATTTTCTAGCTATAGTGGTCGGAATGAAACTGATTACATCTGCATGCACAGCTTCTTGGAACTGCAGCCATTACAAAAGCAGGTAGAGTAATTGCCAATCAGAAGAAAAAAAAGCCACTGAAGATATGGCTAAAAAAAGCAAGCTAAAGAGAAGAGAGTTTTTTTTCTTTTCTGGTAGTGTGCATTTTACATGTGCCACTACGAAGAGCATTGAAACAAAAGAAAAGCAGAGTGAAACTATATAGCTGAGGCTGTTCATTTTCTTCCTTGAGCACAGAAAGACAACTAAAAGAAAATATCAACAACAAAACCAGTCTGTTCAACTAATGGCGAATTTCACTGGTCGTTTTGGAGCGCATCAAAATCGACTTTTCTGGAGCGCGCCTGTTTCACCGGGTGATCGTGGCTGAGATGGACGTGTTCTGCTAGTCGTTTGAGATCAGCTCCCACTCGAGAACTCCGATCCAGATCCCGGAGATATCGCTCCGCCGATTTCGGTGGGTTCAAACGGAAGCCAGCCTCGTCACCCATCGGCGCGCACACGTGACTTCCTTTCTCGCCGGCATCTCGCCTCGAAAGAATTCGTAATAGCCACCCGCGAAGTGTCGCCCGCTTTACTGCTGCTGCTGCTTGATGACAGCTCATCATCAAGTTGTTCGAGTAGCAGTGACGACGAGGATTGCTTGTATGTCCCGCATGAATTTGACTGCCTTCTCAGACCTCCGTAGAAGAGGCCGTAAATCGAGACGCACATAGACAGCGTTCACGAGCATTTCGATGGAGAGGCAAGTGGGCTATGCTGATGCACATCGCTTATCAATATGCATCTTTCAAATGATTAAGGGGGGACATGGGCCGAAATTCAAAATTTTTTTTAAAGAATTCACTTTTCAGTTTTGAGGTTTTTGGTTTTAGAAACTAACTTTAAACCTTAAAACTAGATTTGATAACCATAAGCCAAATACTTAGGTTGATATAAAATATTTTCAACACGTTTTGAGGCCGTAACAAAGTAAAGAAGTTCAATGTTTGAATGCATTTTTCTCAGTTCTGCTTTTTGCTGCAAATTTCATACGAAGGAATCTTTTGTTCAAAGATAAAAGCATTTTGACACCAGAATCAAGATGCTTCTGAACTGAAATTTACTGGGGAATCGAGCTATCTACTTTATTTTGTTTTAAGTTGATGTCCTCATGGAAAAACAACCATGTTTTAAAAAAATTTATATGGAACATATATGCATCTCATATTTTGAGGTACTCACTCTTCCTGAAATGCTTATATTAGAGGTACAAAAAAACTTTCAGCCTTTCCACTCTCGTGAAGAAGGAAGACCAGTGAAGCTGTACTATGGTGGAAATGAAGTGTTTATAAATGTAAGGATTAAGGTGAGATTGGGTAATTCGTTATGTGAGAACCGTATTGTCCCCGGTTGTCTTTGTTATACCACGTCAACCGCCGAAGGCACATGAACGGGAGTCGAGACGCCACTAGTCGTTCCTCCACCATGTTCAACCTCGGTAGGTGCTTTGGTATGGGTGGGTACTTGTAGCCGTTCACGGTCACGAACCAGTGCACCGCGCCTTTGAGCAGGGAATCTCGGCACGTTCTGCACGCCTGTTCTTTGTAGACGTCCGCCAACTCGATAAACAGCAGCAACGCGCACGCGTCCGTTTCCCGCTTCTTCTTGTCCGACACGCCGCCAATCGTGGATACGTCTCCGGCAAACCAGAGTCTGTCGCACACGGCGCATGTGATGCCAAATGGGTTGAACTCCCCCCGGAACCTCGCCGTCGCACCCTGGAACTGTTCAGCTGGCGTGGAGCACTGTCGTAGCCGGGCCTCGCGCTTGCGCTTGGCCTCCGTGGCACGATAGTTGTCTGTGGCATGGCCCGCCAGTGCCCTTTACATTGTTGGTTCTATTGTCGGCGGCGGCTTTCCAAGCGAGCGATGTGCTCTTCTTTTGCAAAGGAGTCTGAAGCGGTGGACGCAGTGGAAGTCGAGGCGACAGCGGCTTCACGTCGGTTGCGAACCCATTCGTGCTGCTGCGTATGCCGCCGCTCCTTCCAACCCAGTCTTTTTTCCCCAAAAGGGCACAAGGCCGACGCATCCAGAGTCCAAACCGAAACTGATAAGAGCATAGGAAACAGCGTGCAAAACAGACGAGGACGAAGAAACACACCTGACGATCACATGTTTCTTCTTCGTCTTCGTCTGTTTTGCGCGCTGTTTCCTACAATAAATCTCCACCAACGCGTCCAACTATCCATTCTTTCTGATAGCTGGAAGGGTTGCCACCATATACGAGCGACAACGGCAATTTGAGTAGCTGTCTGGTTGTTGCCATCGCTTATAGATGGCGGTAGCTGTCCAGAGGTTTGTGTAGGTTTGTGTCGACACGAGTTTGGTATTAGGCACGATCCTGGGGACCCTAGCCCTTAACAGCTCTGCTGTAGAAACTAGACAGCCCGAAGTTCCACATCCCCCGCTTTATATTTTAGCTGTCAAAATGCTGCTTAGTAGCTTCATTTGCATATCATAGATTGCTTAATGAAGAGTGATGCATCTTCTTATGCAGGTATGTAAAGTTGTCCTAAAGAGCAGAAAGTCTGCCAAAATACACCTACATCTGACTCTAAATCTCCCCTGCAAATTTCATTCCGATGACTTGAGTAGTTCAGAAGTTAAATTTCTAGCCAGTGTCCCCCCATAACTTCGCTTGCACGTTGAACATCTGTTATTAGCGCCGCGATTTCGAAAACATGTGCTTCGAGATCCGGGACCGCGGGAAGGGGATTCCTGGGAACGTGGATGACGGAAAGGCATCCGCCGATCGTGGAGGAGTGGTCATCTTCCACTGGGGACCCGGAGGTGAAGTGACTCCATTTGGATTGCGTGCTCCATTTCGGATCTGGTCTACTGATCCCTGCGCTCCAAAATGACCAGTGGAATTCGCCATAAAACAGTACTGCAGAATCCCATCAGATAGCTGACCCGAGTATTGGACCTCAGTAAGCAAAATTGCTACATGGCCTTGAGTATGGTGCGCAGCCCAAAAAGTTCTGTAGAAATCTCTTCCGAGTTCTGCAATCAGCCGGTGCAGGCTCCATGCTCTAACTGCTTCTCGGCAGTGCAGAAGTGCATGCAGGGAAAAGCATCCCTCCAGTGTGGATGAGCCCACGCATGTCAGCTTGCTAAAAGGATGGTTCAGTCCCTGTAAAAAAAACTGGCTATTACATTATCAAATGGGCGACATTCTTAAGTTTTTTTTTATTATTACTCTTTTTACCAACCACTGCTAATGCTTATCAGTAAACACTGATAACATTTTTCAAATGGCTTTCTTTACAACTGAACAAGGTCAGTGACTTGGAGCAGAAAGCATATACAAGGTCTGACATATCATTTTTATTGCCCAATTGGTTGAGACAAACTTCTAGAGTGCTACAGTCCTTCTTTACTTAGTGTACATTATGTGTTTCGCTTCACATGTACATATACTGTTTGTAATCTAAAATAGAATCTGCAAAACATGCAGGCAATGGCCTGGGCCCCTGCCTTTTAGCAGAACTACAGCTCATCTGAGCTACTATACATGAAAGTGCAGTTCCGTATTGTGAACTTTGAGGTGTGGTCGTTTTGGACAATTTCCAAGGAGCATCTCATCTTTCCTTGCTGTGTTCTACATCAGATAAACTCACAAAGTCCTAAATTTTTTTGTAATTTTCTGCGTTTTGATTTTATGATCGGCTTCTAGGTGCGGCTTCATTAATTATTTTCTTTTGAGGTCCACCATTTGGCATCTCTCTCTCTTTTTAGGACGTCCAGGGCACTTTGGCACAGAGCCTTTTTGGGACGCCAGCACACACAAGGGCGAATGGGAGCAACATACTCCTCCAGCCAACAGGCAGCTCTCTGACTAGCAATTCACCAATTGCTTTGGATAAACCGATGATCGCGATGAAAGTTCTCATCATTTAGATCTTGAATTAGGAGAAAATACAAATTGAATAGAAGAAAAAGGTGAGCTATATGTCGGGATCTTACAGTAGATAGAAACGTTTCAATGCAAAAAAAACTCGTCTTTCTGTCTCATAGCTCTTACTCTACTTGCCATGTACAGGATATACGCTTTGGCACAGAGCCTTCAAAATGTATAAATTAAAAAAACAAGAAAAAAAATCGATGTAGGCAGGTGAATTTCCTCACAGCTGTGTACCCAAATCTACTATAAGATATATCGCTGCAAGCTGAAAAATGTTTCTACCTGTGTGCACCAAGGTTTGTGTCTTAGCTGTGCTAGCATAGAAACAAAAGCATATAATTCTAAACATGCCAGGCCATGCCTGCCCCAGTTGTAGGGGTCAACTAGGGTGAGGCGATGGGCAAAGCTGAAGCAGTGCTCACTACTTGCACGTGCACTTGCGGCTACAAGGTGCAGGTCTTTGGGGTAGCTCTGAGGGGAGAGACGGAACAGATGCGCTCACCCTGCCGTTTACGGTTGGCGTCGTCCGGGGTGTCCTGCCAATGCATGCTGCGCCGCACGGCATCCTTCCACTTGGCGTACCGTGATTCCCGTTCTGTGAGAAGGAGGAATAGGCTTAAGCTGGACAAACTGGAGAAATCTGTACCCGCACGTTACTGCAGCCAATCTGTGCAGGATGACATCAGGGGTTAAAAAATGCCGTTTTAATGGTGTTCTTTTTGCCCCCTGTTCTCACGAGAATACTGTAGAAATGTCCAGTTTTATAAAGTCACTTTTCACTTGTGTGTGCAAACTTTGTGTTGCCCAACCAAAAAGTTCTTCTGGGACAATGAACAAGAAAAATTAGGCCCCCCTCCCCGATTAGTTGTAACGCAAAAACCTTTAGAGTTAACCGATATATCTCGAGGCATCGACTTCAATGGAGCATGAAATTGTTTTTCCTAATTTCCTCAATACAACTAACTAGAGCTCGAGATAGACGCTTCACATTCATAAGGCACAGAACAAGAAACACTTGATGGTAATGCTATCCTAGTTTTTGCAAAGGGTGTATTTAAGGGGCTCACATTTCGTTTCCACCTCAACTCCCTGTTCTCACCTCACCAGACTATTCTGCCCCTTCACGAAACGAACAAGAAAAGAATTATTTCTCTACAACAGATAATCTGCCTAGTGGGGCTTGCTTAAGACCTAGCACACAAGGGCTGTAAACCTCAAAAGCAACAAAAACAGAAAGACAAAAACCCAGCATAAAACCATTGCGTGTAATAGTCACTTAAGATGTAAACGTCACGTGGTATCCCATGACGTCCTAACAAGATAATCAAACAAGAAAGAGAAAGGTCATTCGATTCCCCCCTTGGCTTCTGTTTAATGGTCCTTTTAACGAGAGGTCGCTGCTAGAGTTTTGGCACTTTATTTCCTGGTCCTCTCACACAGATACCCAATTCCGGTGCTTAGTGCAGAATGGGTACAACTGGCAAAAGTTACTACTAGAAAATTGACTTCCTGAGTTTGAGGTATGGTGCCAGGAAGTCGCAATGGCTGTTCTAACATTTCTGGAAGTCGCAAAAGTGTTAGCTGCGATTTCAGATAAGCTTTGGATCACTGGCAACAATTATTTCAAGCACCACAATGGCCGAACTGTCTCGACTCCAAAGCGTAGCTCATTTTCGCCGCCCGTCCCGCACGGTTGTGTCTGCCTCACCGGTCGGCAGTATGGAGGGCTCGAACACGTCAGTGGTGACGCTGGGGAACTTGTTGCTGTCCAGGCTCCACACATTGATCCCCTCGGCGGCGCCGGCGGCGATGGCTGCACCCAGGGCAGTGGTCTCCGACATCTGGGGCCTCACTGCGTGTTTGGCACAATCCAGTCACGTGCACGCTCTCCTCTCTCCGAGTTTGGTGGCACTACCTCAACCCCTTCCTAGAGTAGAAACTCTAAGTAGCTTTCTCAACACTGAGCAAAGCCATAAACACAATTACATACTTATGAACACATCTACCTAGTTAAGAGGAGACATGGATCTTTAATGGCAAAAAAAACTTCCTAAAAATTTTTTGTTTTGTTTTAAATGGTGATTTTAAAGTTGACAGCCATTTTGGCAAGTCATTAATTTTGTAGATCAATATTAGTGTTCTCATATCAATTTATAGCATCTATGCAGGCTGAATTTGCATTGAAGGTTATGCTAAAGTTGCATTTTTTTAAAGCACAAATTTTGGCCTCCTTGGAAATTTATAGCATCTGGAACAGATAGAAATAGAACTTATTTTAGCAATATGTTGCTAAATATGTGGGGCATACAATGTTGAGAGCAGTTTTTTACTATAAGCCTCGGAAATTGTTCAACTGATCTATTGTTTTATTGCTTAGTTGCCACAAATTGAGCACTGACCTTCAATGCATTGTAAAATCCCTAGCAATGGATCAATCTCAAAAGTACTTGTATTCTTTATACTTTGTAGTATTTAGCCATGCATTAAACATAATTTTTTGTTCTGCAAATGTTTCCCTATTGTTCATGAAAACAAAGGCAGGTGAGTTTACATTATATTGAGGACTGGACTGCTGAATGAAAAACGGACTAGATGTTTGCAATCAGCAAGAAAAACTGAACAAGCATGTGCACTTCCACCGAGTTCCAAACAATAGGAATGAAAGCTCCAAGACCAGTGGTTCCCCTTAAATAACCGAAAAAATGCAGATGAATGAACCATACCGGTCAAATAGAATCATTGCCACAAAGAAGTAAAAAAAGGGCACTGCAACTGTGCAAAGCATAAGAGTATGTAAATCAATGCCTTCTGCGAGTTTGCCGAGCAAAGACAGCGTTAACTTGGGCTCAGTAGTGGCGACGATAGAGGAAGATGCCATACTATTCATTTGTCCTTCTAAAGCAGTGGTTCTCAACTGGGGGTCCGTGGATCCTTCGGGGTCCCTGAAGGTCTCGACCATCAATCGGGTCAAGCAATAAAACTTGCTTTTTTAATTGATTCCGGCTCTTCCACAAAGCTAAACAGACCGCATCTTGTGCACCAAGTGAGTAGGGCTGCATGTTCTTCGTTTCAGAGCTTCAAAGTTGCTTTAAAGTTGACTTTTGTCATTGTAATCGTCGTAACGGTGCAATGACGAGTGAATACAAACGTACGTGTCCACTAAAGAATACTTTAAGAAGCATTTCCTAAATGACTCGCAACGTGTGCGATCCCCTGCAGTTCCAATCGGACCTAAGTACCGCGAAGGACTGCTTTGCGAGACTGCTTTCAGTGGTCTTTCCCGACGAATCGGTAGACAGGTTTGTGGTATGCGTACTGAGCAAGATGAGCCTCAGCGGCGGTCTGTCCCACAGCAATGCAGTACAAGACGGTGCAAAATGCTAATGCATTTTCAACAACAATTTGTGCAGTGATTTTGGCAACATTCTTTCACTACATTCACATTGTGTGAAGGCATAGGCTAGCTATACATCACTGTGTGCAATTCGCCGTTAATTTTTATTTGATTTATACTGCCCCTCGTGCACCGCAGAAAATGAATTCTTATGATATTCTTTTCGGTGTGTTGCAACGACTCCTCATAAATGCCTTGTTCTTTGCACTGACAACCGACAATAGACCCTTTTCAAAATGATGCACAGACTATGTGTGGCCACCAATACCGTATTTACTCGCATAATGAACAGACTTTTGTTCCCGAAAAATTGACATATATTCGGGGGGGGGGGGGGGGGGGGGGGGGGGGGGGGGAAGGGGGGCATTACGCAAGGTAATTTGAGCTTAGACACTTCAGGCAAATGTCATATTAGGTGCCAATATGACACGGCAAGGTGCTGTGGCACGCCCCCACTGAAGGAGGCGCACCCACGGCTGGTCGGGGGGGGGGGGGGTGCCACCGTAACCATGCTTTATAAATTGTGAAGCTTTTAAGGGCGCTTTCGGCGTGCCTTTTGCCGAAGGAAAAGCGCCCTACGAAGCTCATTCAGCAAGGAGAGCAACGTGACCATTCTTGGGCTTAACCACTTTCACGATTTCACTGGCCAAAAGCGGACCACAGATGACGGCATGCTTGTTGACATCAATGCATCTGATAGGTGAAAAATGTCCCGGGCTGGGCAATTCTTCGACACAAGCTTCGTCAAGTGTGCGCGCCGCTCGGTTTCACGGTTGATCACTTCGTCGACTACGCACTTGCAGCCATTACGAGAGCGGCTTGGCTTGGTTTGACTTGGCCCGCCTGCTTGGCGGCAAAAGAAAATTGGCTTGGTGAGTTGGATGCAATTCGAGACTCAAAGAGCCGAAAATTGGAGGTGCATTCATAACGAAAGGGGAAAAAAAAAAAAAGTTCAAATATTGGTACCTGTTTTGAGGGTGCATTGAATATGTGAGTAAATATGTAATGGCAGCTGCGCATAATCATGCATCATTTCACAATTTTGGAAAGGGTCAATTTATGTAATAAATAAATATATTGTTAGGGTCTAGGGGTTTGTTCTACATAAATTCACTCCGTATGAGCTATCTTCTAACCGTTATAACTTCCTTCTTCTCACTTGTCTCCGACCTGGCACGCTCTGCTGTCCCATCGCATTGTCCCCCGTGAGCAACAATGCCCTGATGTGCCACCCGCTGGGCATGACGTGAACTCCATGCCGAGCACGGTGTGTGGCGCGCGAGCGCCTATGTTTTGTGCGTGGCTGTCGCACGCACAGCCCGCACCCTCAGAGTATAAATGAAAAAAAAAAAACTACCCTAAAATCCCGTAAGGACGCCCACCCAAAATGAAGAGATGAATTGGGAAACATGGGGTGGGCTATCTTTGGGGATGTGACACCAACAATTAATAAAAAGGCAATAAGACAGTAGGCTATCCGCTACAAATCACATAAAACGGAAATTATGATATGATAAACACGTGGGAATTTGCTACGACATCCTGTGTCATGGTAAAAGGGGTTGCGGACGCAGCAGATTTGCTTTACAGTGTTTGCACGATTTTAACGCGCAGGCAGATTTAGCTTTCAGATATTCGAAAAGTAAATTGTGGCCGATTCTACCGAGCAGGTAAAATAATGAAGATGCAACAAATTAAGTCGAATTTGGGGGTTTTACATGCCAAACCAACGACTGGCATCTGGCACGCCCCAGCGGAAGACTGAGGATTAATTTGGACCACCTGGGGATCTTTTGACGTGCAACCGAAAGCTCGGTTACACGGCACCTCCTCCGCAATAAGCCTCCGTCAGATTGCGGGCACCTCGGCCGGGATTCGAACCCGCCACATGGGGATCCATAGGCTAGTGCTCTCGCCTCGGAGCCACCGAGGCGGCTAATGAAGATGCAAAACATACCTCATTGGATTTTATGAGCAAATGCCAACACAAAAATAAATGCCGTGCACTAGTTGCCGTTGTCATAGTCCGACAATGTATCTTTGCTGTCCACAGAGGTGATCCCTGCTTTCATATAACCTTTTTAAGCACTTTAAGTGCCGCGCTTCTTGCGCATGTACGAGTGCGTGACTGTCGGCTTTGGAAGGGTCACCTTCCAAGCACCACTTTGCAAGCTCGTCAAGTCGCTGGGATTGCGATGCCAGGCAGTGCTGCTCCGTTGTTATATTTTCCCGCCAGTGAGGCGGCCTTTTGTTTACCATATTTACTTGAATCTAACGTGCACCTTCTTTCCGGGAAAATAGGTCAAAAGATTGCATGCGTGCTAAAATCAAGTGCGACCCAAAACTGCGCTACCATATCGCCATCGACATTTCAAAATGGCTGCTCCATTATGCGCTGAGACGGAAAGGCTTAGAGCATAGCCAGCGTTTAGCGTAGTCGTGTGCTTCTTGCGTTCGTATCAACATGGAAGTTCCCACTGTAAAGACATGCCGCGTTCACTATGATGCTGGATTCAAAAGAAAAGTGATATAGTGCGCGGATAGCGATGGAAATCGGGCCGCATCACGTGCGTTTAGTGTTCCAAAAACTTGCGTGCGGGACTGGCGCAAGCAGAAAGGAAGGATTTTGGCCAGCAAGTCAATGCGGAAGGGATTCAGTAGACCGAAGAAGCGCCAATTCCCCGAAATAGAAGACCCGCTTGCAGAATATGTCGTCCGACAGCGATGACGAGTGATGCATATCGCCCTACGGGCGCTGCCCCGGACCGGCGTTGTGATGACGACCTTGCCGGCCAGAGACAGCGCCGTTCATTTCATCGCAAGATTGAAGCATTTAGAATAAACCTTTGTTGTTCCAAATGAGAAAAAGTTTCATTTCTGTATCGAACCTACAAATCTGGTGCACGTAACAACCAAGGTCATCGCGTTTTTTTTTTTTTTTTTTTATGACTTCGAAAAATGGGTGCACGTTACAATCGAGGGCATATTAGATTCGAGTAAATACGGTAAATAAAGCCTCCTATAGATTTTCATTTTCCATCTTAAAACAGCGGGCACAAGTCCATAGATGCGAGAATGCGCGTGATATGAATACTGAAATGGTGGATGTAAACAAACGGTCGCGATGGCGTTGGGGCTAGCCACCTTATACCGATTATAGCGTTTTTCTTTAGTTTCGGTTCTTGGTTCCGATTGTAACACACATGTTTTGGGCACCGATTTTGGCGAGAAAAGTGTGCGTTAGAATCGTGCAAACATGGTACACGGTGCAAAGGTCACGCGGTAACCTGCCGCAAACTTGCATGTTATGGGAACCGATGCCGCCAATCGCGGATGCAGCAGATTTGAATTTCACGGTGCAACAGACATTCAGGACAATTCATATGTCACGGGAACTGATATTGCGTTCGCAGATTGTGAACAAAAATGTGTAAACCTGTTAGAAACTCCCTTGTCAGAAGTCCCGGTACCAAAGATTGCGCAATTGATGGGATTCCCGTCAAACATCGCGTGATGTTCGAAGAGAATAGGGGGTAGGCGATATTTCAGAATTTTGATGTTTTAGATATTTAGCCAAAAAGACGGGATGGGCAATCTCATGGGGGAGGGGCGCCCTTACGGGATTTTACGGTAATTTATTTACGGTGATCTATAAAAAGGGTTATGATTAAACTGTTCAGAAAGAAAAGCAAAAAGACCATCTGAAGTAGATCTTACAAATTACATCAACATTAAAAAAATTTTGCCAAATGTGTCCAAATCTAGAGGCAGATATCGCCTCAGCAATCTCTGGAGGCCAAGACTGTGGTGCCTGGAACGCAACTCCGAATGGTGCATTTTCCGTGTCCTAAAAAGTGGTCCCTCGATTTCCGAAAGACGACGTCGTGGAGGTGTCACGTCGTCGCCAGCCGCGACCCTGCGGTGTCGCAGCAGCGGTGGCGGATCTGGCAAATGCCAGTTCTGCTGCAGGTGGGTCTCCGGTTTGACGGTCGACGGAAGCTTGGGCAGCCGGGAGTATGGAAGCCGCGACGACGGCAACGCTCGCATTCTCGAGTGCTTGTTTCCAGAACTTCTACGCCCAACCGCCGGAAGTGCGACATCCGGCAGGGTGACATTCCGTTTTCGTGTTGCCATTTGTCGCCACTTTGGGACTGCTTTCGACGCACGAGTCGGAGACGTGCTCCGGCCACCGTAACGAGACGGGCCGCAGAAAGACCCACCGACGCAGATGCCGAGCAGGTCTGCCTGCAGTCGCATGAGCAGCTCGTTGACCGCCATTCCCCCGTCGACCAACAGCTGCTTCAAGGCCACCCCCGTGTCACTGTCCATGGCGTCCAGGATCTCGCGCACCTGGAACACAGCGAGCGAGATCCGTCGGCTCTCGAGCTGGTTTTAATTTCGGCAACGCGCGGCAACTGCCAACCGAACCGGCGAGACGAAGAGAGGTATCTCCAACTTTTCTATCTTGAGAAGAAACCCGCATCTGCCTTGACTGACTGCCAAGGAAGTTGGAACCCCTCGTGGTCTCGGCACAATGCTCTAAAGTGGTGCAGAAACCTACTGACCTTGTAGACGATAACGACAATACAAGGGAGTATTGGGTGGTAGGAAGTATTTGGGAGCGTGAGGAACCCCTGGGTCCCCGAAACTCGGTTTGAGAACCCGTGCAATGAAGCTCTCGGTTTTTCTGCCTATGCATGTTCTCAATCCAAACATTAGGTGAAGCGCATTGTTTTACTTAAGACAAATCTGGTACATTACCTTGCACCTCCACCACCTGCGAGGGTAATAAAATGGCGATTAAATGGGGCAGATGATTTGGTGCAGTCTGTTCAGAAGACGAGTCAGCAATCCATGACCCAGGTAATACGCTCTTTGCTTTTCCGCATCCGCTCCGTCGTCCCCTCCCTAACCATTCTGATTATGCCCCAAAAGAGTCTCATCGCTGCAGTTTAAAACAAATTATGTTAAGGGAAAGAGCTCAAAGATGCAAGAACAGAGGGGCAGAAGAGATGTCGCACTGTGCCTCGGCGCCTTTCTTACCACTCCTTTAAAGTCGAATCATGGTAAGTTTGCCTCTGATGCCGGTACAGGCATTTGAAGTAGATATACAGTAAAATTATCCATGTAGTAGAGTATGGCATGTGACAACAGGCATTCAAACTGTGGCCGAAACTCAAACCGAAAACTGCTTAGAAACGCAAATGTTTCAATAACCGTAACTATACCAATATTTTAATTTGGCATGAACTGCAACAGCAACTGTAACCATTAAAATGAACCAGTGACCTATGTATTAAATCGGTTCGGTGAAAGTTTCATAGAAAACAAACTGAAACCTCTAGGGAGTATCTTTAATTGCCAATGGCATTTGTAGGTGCCGGCTAGTAATGCTTTTCATTCTATATCTTAGTAAAACGTGGATTATAGCTCCAGGATTAGTCGGCCATTCCGCTTCAGTGGACATTCAACTGACACAATAAGTCTTATTTTATCAATTGTGCTTCATGCCCGTTTAGTCTTTTTCCAATTATGAACTTGTAAATTATACTCCCGAGATGTTAGGCTAACTCTGTCCTCCCATCTGTCAACGTTCTTGATGCAAAGCATGAAGGATCAATATTAATCTAGGCCACCTCGAAGAAAACAATGTTTTGCTGAATGCCCTATCTGAATTTTGTCCTGGACAAAGCTGCGAAACAGCACAGGCTGTCGTGGTACACGCAGAAAGTGCAACCCTCGACAACTGCGGACCCTGCAAATATTTCGGTAACATGCAAGATCTTTTTCATTCTTAAAAATGAACACTCCGTAGGAAAAGACAAAAGATTTTGATTAAATGCAGAAAGGTTACGTGTTTGAACTACATATATCTAATTGAACTAAGATAATTCAAAAGCAGCACTTCATTCGAATGATATCTGTGCAATTATAATTTATGAAACAATGCTCGTCCTCTTTCACATCACCAACACGAATGGAATATCGGTAAATATTAAAAAAAAGAAACAAAACCTGTTCAACTACCTGCAGAATAAAAAAAATTCTGTACAGTGAATATTACATGAAATTAACAAGCCTCATCTGTCACTTAAAAAAGGTGTGAAACACCACTGGTTCAACACCCTGTCTAAGGCTAAAGGCTGCTTCACACACTTGCAACAGCTTATGACTGTGTGCCTTGAAACCTCTTGCAACGAGAGAACACACTGGCACCATCTGTTGAGAAGCTGTCAAACATTTAGCATTTCCAACCTTTCCAGCTATCAAAGAAGAATGGATAGTTGGGCAGGCGCGTTGGTGGGAATTCATCTTAAGAAACAGCGCGAAAAACAGACGACCACAAAGAAGAAGCACACGTAAAGAGTGCAGTGCTCGTCACTTGTGCTTCTTCGTCCTTGTCTGTTTTGCACACTGTTTCCTACGCTCTTATCAGTTTCGGTTTGGACTCGGGATGGGTCAGCCGCGTGCCCTTTCTGGGAAAGAAGACTGGCTGTGGAATGAGCGGCGACGTACACAGCACCGCGAATGGGTCCGTAACCGCTGCAAAGCCGCTGTCGCCTCAACTTCCACTGCACCGAGCGCTTCAGATTCCCTTGCCAAAGAAGAGCACATTGCTCGCCTGGAAAGGCGCCACCGAGAACAGAGCCAGCGATGTAAAGGGCGCCGGCGGGCCAACGCCATGGACAACGATCGTGCCTTGGAGACCAAGCGCAAGCGCGAGGCCCAGCGAGGACTGCACTCCACGCTGGCTGAACAGTTCCCGGACACGACGGCGATGTTCCGGAGGGAGTTCGTGGATTACCCGTTTGGCGTGACGTGCGCCGTGTGCGACCAACTCTGGGTCACCGGAGACGTATCCACGATTGGCGGAGTGTCAAACGAGAAGCGGGAAACGGGCGCATGCGCGTTGCGGCAGTGTATAAAGTACAGCTCCGCTGGTTTTCCTTCTTCACGAAAGTGGAAACGCTGATCGTTATTTTGTACATCACTCTCTCTTTTGGCTCGAAAAGCTTTTGACAATGTTATCAACAATAGTTTCTCATTAATAGTACATACATTTCATCAAGCAAGTACTGCCAAACCTTCGCTCAAGGGAAATTACAGTAATTTCCAGGGCCACCTCATAGATGGGGCCAGCATGTTCTTTCGTCGTAAGAGGTTGCAAGAACTTGGTTGTAGGCAAATGCAAGTGTGTGAACGGGCCTTAATACAATAAACAACAAAATAAGTAGATAATGCCACACACCTGGAAACAGACAGCTTCGAGGGTGGCTCTGGCAATGTGTGCTTTCGTTGTAAACTGGGTCAGTCCGCAGATAATGCCGCGAGCGTCTGGCTGCCAGTATGGAGCGTACAGTCCCGCGAAGGCAGGCACGAAGCACACCCCGTGGGAGCTGTTCACCGTCAGCGCCAGCTTCTCTGAACACAAGGCCAAAGAGCAAGGTCATGGCAACAGCTGACAGAAATATTAGGAAGTTTTAGAATAGTGTATTCAAAGAATAGTGTCGTTGCCACTGTGCATGCGCTAAACGCTAACCACATTTTGCAGTTTGCGTGGGCTATTTTTTGGAAATTGTGTGTGTACACGGAGCGTTTGTGCTTTTAAGAAGCATTTGCGATACGCAAAAAGTTGGTTAAAGCCAAGACGAGCACAGTTAGAAACTAGCGGCTCCCGAGACGACAGCTGCAGCCGCTTTGGCGGTTGTTGCGAGTGCGACGTCAGCGGCATCCTCCCGACTGCAATTTTCACTACAGGACGACACCAACGTGAGGCGCACATCACAAGTGGTTTCGGAGACCCAGCAATGAGCGCAACAATTGCCTGCAACTTGTTGCTTGTGACAACCTAACATTTCTCGGTGAAGGTACGGCGGGTACGGTGTGCGAAGGTCAGTAACAAGACCTCTCTTGCCAAAGTGACACAAGCGGACACTGAAAATTGTCCCAGATGTCCTGACAGCTTGTTTAGCATCTCTTGTGCATAAACTAGCAACAGTGTTGTACGGAACGGCGTTCCTGAAGCGCGTTACTTTTCGGAGGAACGTAGGAATGCCGCCGTTACATTTTGCATCAGTGGAACTGGAACGCGTTACCTTTTTACTAAAACAAAAGAAGGAACGGCGTTCCTTTTTTTTTTTCGTCCAGTGGGGCAATTTGTAATTTATTTCTAAAAGGGAAATTCTAAAATGTATAAAAACAATATCATTACGAAGAGAAGGGTCTCGTTAACTTTTTTGTTACTTATCTTAAGGCACACTTGTGCAACCGCGCAAGACCGTGAGAGACAAGACCTGTTTTTAAGCAACTTATGACGGCGAAGGACCTGCTCCGCAGCAGCGCGTCTGGTCCTACGCCGTCGTAAGAGGCTTAAAAACAGGTATTGTCTTGCTGAGTCGTACTCAGTTGCATGTATGTGAATGGCAATTTAAGGCCTGTTCACACACTTGCAACCGAGTGGGACTGACCGAGCCAAGACCGGTTTTTAAGCTTGTTGCGACGACTTAGGACCGGATGCGCTGCTGTAGAGCTGGTCATAAGACGTCGCAAGAGGTTTAAAAACCGCTCTTTTCTCACTCGGTTGTACCTGGCTGCAAGTGTCTGAATGGCGCTTTAGAGCCTATTTTGTGAGGTTTTCTCTTGGTAACAGTTAACTGCAGGAAAGCTAATGGACATCGATACATTCTTTTCAGTGGCCGAGAGTGCAGTACAAAAAACCAAAACTTTTAGTCGAAAGAAAAGACACAGAAAGAGGGACGTCTCAAACTCAGTTACTTTCTTTGATTCCACGAATCCTCATACACCAGAAATCTTTTTGCCGACTACAGCCATCACGGAACTTTCAGAAAGAGACCTACAATGACAACAGAAACACAGGTGACCAGACATGAAATGCAACCTTGTATCCCGAACATTGGTCACTTTAAGTATACACAAAAATTAACCTTTATTCATTCTCCCCTTGTCCCCCACCTTAAAACAGAACAACGAATTCTAACGTTCACGAAGGACTGGCAGCTTTAAAGACTGGCCTTCCAAAAACCCTACTCTTTTCTAAACTTGCTCGTCTTGCGGACAGAAACATAGAGTAGCAAGTGTTGTTAAGTTCGAACACGAAACTTTGTTAGATTGAAACAAGTAAGATTTTTGTAAAACACGTGTGCAACAGTACATTTGGCTCGTCTAAATTGCCCGCCACAAAGATGAATACGGCCCAAAGCTAAGATTTTTAAACGTGAATGTATCAAGAACTGAAACCTTGCTTCCGCTTGTCTTCTTCTCCGGTCCTTCCATCACGGCATTCAAACTAGTATGCTGCCATTTGATGGGATAAATTAAAAAACATAAAAAAACTCTGTTTGATCCAATTGAATATGGTAATCGTCAAAATACAAATGTAACGTATATGTAACGGTACGTTCCCTTTATCAAACTGTAACGGGAACAAGTTCCTTTTTCACAAATGGAACTTGTAAAGGGAACGCGTTCCAAAAATCAGAAGGAACGAGGAACGAGCTTTTGTTCCTTTTTTTGAGGAATGTGTACAACACTGACTAGCAATGGCAGTTATAAAAACAAACAAGCATGACACTTGTTCATAAAAAATTCCTGCAAGATGCAACAACAAATACGTAAACAAGAACAAGCTGATATTGAAGGTCTGCAAAAAAATGACATGTTTCAAAGCAAAATTTTACAGCCAAAGAAAAGGTGCCTGTGGCAAACATACCAACTTCCGAGCTGCTGTTGATGATGGATAGATTGTCCCTGAGCCAGCGAACAGCAGCTCCCGCAATGGCAACAGAGCCCTGCGCCCCGAGGCCTCATTTCAAACGTCTTGCCAAATACACACGTGACAACACCCAGAGCTTTAGGCCCCCTTTTCCTTCAGACTGTAGGCTCCTTCTGGTCTCTCCTTCATCACCCTTTCGAGATGAGTAAAGACCGACTCACTCTTTCTTGCACAACTGTCTGGACAAGTTTTATGATTACAGATTCTTGAAGATACAATAAGTGTGCAGGCCAGCTGGTGAAGAATTAACATACGTTACTAATAGGGGTGTGCGAATATTCGAAATTCCAAATACAAATCGAATATTTTCCTTATTGGAAACATATTAGATTCGAAAATTGCATATTCGGGAAAAACAATAAATATTCGCACAAACTGTGAATATTCGAGCAAGTAACAAATAATCTGCCTGCCACGCATTCCCTTACGAATATGTTTAATCACTAAGAAAGGCGTATGATGCGTGCGTTATTGGTCTGCTCCGTTTCTATCTGTCCGATGGCAGCAAGACAGGATCAGTTTCAGTTTCTTTTTCACCAAGCCTTTTGTTGTGTGGCACTTTTATAGCAATATGTGATGTAATGGCGCATTCTATAAATTGATACAATAAAATAAACCTCGATAGCGAAATATAATTATAAAATAAATCTCTAGTGTTATCTAACATGAATGTTTAAAAATTAAAAAAAGAAAAAGCTAGGTGCGAGCAGAACATTGCATTGCCATTGACAACAACTCCTGCCACTCCCACAAGTCAAAACTAGGGATGTCGTGAACCTGCCCAGGTTCGAGTTCGACCAAGTTCAACTTTTTTGAACTTTCAACGTGATGTTCGACAAAGGTTCGACTGAAGTTCGACTTTTGTGTGCATGCACGAAAATTTAAAAAAATCTAGTTGACTCCACCTGGCAAAGGAAAAGTGCAATATTTGTTGAGTTTATTGGCATCACTGGTTCACATTAACAGGGGTGGAACTCATGAAATGTGCTTGGGAGCAGCCACGGGAGCAGCGGAAACAGCCGTTTTAGAGCAGGTTGGGAGCAGCTAAAACTACATTCTGGAGCAGGCTAGGAGCAGCTCAGATCAGTTTGCATTGCACTTCAGCTTGTGTCTTAGACAAGCACGGGAACAATTTCAATTTTGCTTAGGAGCAGAGATGAACATCAGTGGTTAGGGACCCAGGCAGATGGAATAACAGTGTAATAGATGCGAAAACTTGAAACTTTGTGAGCCTTAATGAGAATCAAAAAGCTAGTACCTGATGTTTCTGAAGATAGCGTCCTTGATATTTTCTGAGTGGCTTTCAGATGCTCAAGATGCAAACCAGCACTGCTTATCGCACAACCCACACGTGATTGACATAGTAATTACATGTGCGAACCACGTGACGAGCGTAAACAAATGACATGCAGTGGGACGGAGGAGCAGGGCAACAAATTTCGAGTTTATCCTATTGTGCAACTCGGTATCGAAGCAGCAGGATACGATTAACGAAGTTATCGTATTTGAAGCGATAAGCAGGAGCAAGGTTAAAGTACGCCGAGCAGATAAGTAGAGCTGCTGGCCGGCAAGGTTTCGGATCGGACCGGGTTTCAGTCCTATCAAATCACGATTTATCTTGCGAGAATGCGGTTCCAACTCCTAAGGATGAAGTACTAAAAGGAATCTTTTGCTCATTTGTTTTCGACTGGATGACGTCCGGATTCCGGGCCGCAGAGCCTCATGCAATCTGATGCTTAACGACTCGACCTCACCTCGGCCGACTTGCCCAACCGCTTATGGTTGAAGAATAACAATCCAGTCGCAGGTGGTGTAGCGCTTAGAATCCGAGTTTTTTTCGCGCGCTTCCGACTCGGGATACACAGGGAGAATAAACAGAACAAAGGATTGCAAGGCCGACCAGGCTAAACGCCCTCATTGTTGCCAATCGAGTCGATAGAAACCGAAACTAAGACGAAATAAAGAGTTTTTTGGCGCACGTTTTGTGATTTGGCGCATAATGGCGCGAGGTATTGGCTGTGGCGCAGTTTCTGCAACATGGCGCAGGATGGCGCAGACACATGCGTCTGGCGCAAAATGGCGCAAATGGCGCAGCCGTTCCACCCCTGCATTAATAACTAATGAAAGCGTTAAAAGTGCATATTTTCGCTTTTATATGGTGCAAACATTGGTAACCATTTTATAAAATAAAAAATAAACTACTTTTTAAATTATCGGTTTCCCAAAATTCAAAATATTCCCGTGGCAGCCAGGCAACACTGTCCATAAGTCGAAATTGAGCTGAAATTGAGGATACATGGTGGGTAGCAAAACTATACAAGTATCTATACATGAAAAGTCTAAACACTAAGTGGACAAACCGAACCCGCAAGCTGAGATTTAAATACATTCAACGAGATGGAGCCGATCAGAGCCTATCAGCAGAAAAGGGAGTTAAGGAAACAGAGAGGAAATTGTGGGAAGAGAGAATGCAAGGGAAATCAGCTTTAACTATATATAGGGCACAAAAACAAGAAATAAAGAAGGAACAGCTGTATGATAATTCAGTGGGGAGCTCTTTGTTGTTTGAAGCTAGAACGGGGGTGCTACAAACGACAACGTATAGGGCTAAATTCCAGGAAATAGACACCCTGTGCGACGTATGCAACCGCTAAAGGGAAACTGTAGAACATGTAATTATAAGGTGCACGGGGCTTCGTCCCACCCTCTTGGGGGGATGACTACAGATTTGGAGGGGGCACTGTGTTTTCCGGACATGGATGGACGAATGGATAAGGAAAGAATTGCGGTAACTAAGAGGAGATTGGAAGATTGGTGGAAGAGATCTAGGGAAGGATAAAAAAAAAATATATAGATAAAAATAAGCAATAAATTCAATTTAAAAGAGAGGGGGGTCTGTTATAACAAAATTCATAAAAATTAAAAAAAAAAGAAAAAAAAAAGGGATGACGAAATGTTAGGCTAGGTGGCGCGAGCTGCCGCTCGTTACAAAGGGTATAGCCATTACCATCCATTTATACATTCTTCGAACTTTAGTGAAATTTTGTAGGTTTCCCGAGTGAAAGGGTCTTTCTACTGGCGGAAATGTTGTCACGGCACGTAGGGAGCGCTTACTTTCTGAACACGTTGAGCACTTAATTTTCCTACACTATAATTTGTAATGAGTCCATTACTAGAAGTATCTTAAGCCTGCTGCAGCCCAGTAAAATGCAGTTGCACTGATATATTTTAAAAAGGCCATAAAACCTGCTGCTACTTCTTGTTTTGCAATATTTTATTACTAGACACATATTCGATTCAATATTCGAAGCCTGTTTTTTGTCTTATTTGTATTTGATTCGTATTCGAAAATTTCAATATTCGCACACCCCTAGTTATTAACTAAAGTCTCAAGTTACTATCATAGTGGTAATGTTCTTGAACTCTTATTGGCACATTTCCGCGCTGGTGTTAACCCGACTACTTTAATGTTTTATAGCTGATAGAAGAATTTAGCTTGTTAGTCACATTCAGACTAACTTAATCAGGTGTAAATGTGAGAACATGTCAACCACTGATGCTTTCTCTCGAGCAATACTTTTAGTCCGCAAACTTTGCAAAAGGCACTGATTGAGTTCTGGTATAGAGCATACTACTTTACTGGCAGCTTGTATCATTCTTTAATTTCAGTGGGATTATGTATTTTCAAACTAAGCCAAAGGCAGCACCAAAGGAATTAGAATCAGGTACTATTAAATGTGGGCAATAAAAGTTAGGGCTTCTTCTGTATACTTATGGCAGTTGACTGATAGGTGACCTTTTCCTTTCATACGCCATTATTCAGTGTCTTATACTAAACAGAATCTCAAAACATACTTCAAGAAATGCAACCGTACAAGGCTATCAAACATCTGGGAACATGTGAAGAACAAAAACTGCACAGATGGGAACAAAGTCACACACCTCTAATGCATACTGCACAGGACGGTTTGGTCCCAGCTTGTATGCAACTGTGGTCAGAAGGCCATGGTTCGATTGCACAATCTGGAAAAAAAGTGCATTGATGCTGCGAATATGAAAAAGAAACCGAGGGCCTTTCCGTAGTGTAATTCGAAACTGACACCATTATGCCATAATGACATATAGTATAAAGAATTATCACCATGGAAAAGAGAAGACGGGAAGAAAAACCAAGAACAATTTATAATGCTAATGACAAAGGGAAATATGTTCCCTGTTTGGCCTACTTCAAGCACAAATCTCCCAAGTTCCCACCACCACAAATGTTCACATAATGTTAGGCATGTGTGAATAGTGGATTTTGAATTGGGGATGAATTCAAAGTGAATAGTGGTTTTGGCCAAATATTATTTAATCAAATATTGAATAGTTTCTCCAAGCTTTTCCCTATTGCACTATGCTTGAATGAAAACCCAGCTGAACTCGAGAAGGTTGCTCCCAGGTTTCCACTCATCCCCTTCTTAAGTTTATTTTAAATGGAAACTCCACTCCATTTTTAAGATTTTTGGGTTATGATCTGTTTAGTCGAAGTCAAAGACCCTGAATCACGAGATATAATTTGTTTTCGGTAGTGTGTATAGTTTTGTAGATATGTGCATTTAAGTTTCGTTCCGGCAGGACGGCGAAACCGAAACTACCGGCTCGAGCACCTTAGCAACACTGATAAACAGCTGCGCGTCGACGCCATGATGTAGATCTCCTCCTGTGCTCCGGAGCCCACGCACTGACACGACCGGCTCAGTCGCACGTGGAGTTTCGAAACAGAAGGTAAGTTCCACATTTTCTTTTTCACCACTGCACTTTGTAAATATGCATCCAAATGTTGTAACTTTTAGTGTGTATTCATAAATTTGCCGGTCAAAAAGCACATCCGACTGCTATTAAAAATATGACGCGGTCAGTGTTGGCGCAGTGTGGCTCTATTTGTTTCTTGCTCGCGGACCAAGAGAAAAATAAATAATGGGAGACATAGGAACAGATGGTAACCACAAGCGGTCTAAGTTGTTAAAGCTAATGTGCCTTTGTATGTACGCTAGTTAGAGCTGCTACGACCTAACTGCTGCGACCCACCGCTCATGCTTGTGAGATACAATTGGGCCTCACTATCATTGTTGCCGTCTGTCGCGATGGCAAAAACTCTGTGTTTACCGTAAAATCCCGTAAGGACGCCCACCCAAAATGAAGAGATAAATGGTGAAAAACATGAGGTAAGCTATCTTTGGGGATGCCACAGCAAAACTTAATAAAAAATTAACGATAAGCGCCGGGGCACCCGCTACAAACCACGTTACGCAGAACCGATACCGCAGATGCGGACACGGCAAATCCGCGTTTCACGATGCGATAAACACGCAGAAATTCGCTACAAACTCCTGTGTGACAGGAAAGGATGCCGCAAGTGGCCAACGCTGCAGATTCGCGCTTCACGGTGCGAAGGACTTGCGGAATCCCGCCGAGAACTCGCATCTTACGGGAACGGATACCGCAGATCGCGGACGCAGCAGATTTAAGTTGCATGGTGCAATAAAGACGCGGGAACACACTACATCTGCCTGTGACGGAAACCGATATCGCGTGCGCAGATGACGGACAAAAAACATGGGAATACGCTACAAACTCGCGGAAACAAATACCGCAGATCGCGGATGCAACAAAATCGCATTTCACGATGCAATATACACGCAGGCAACTCACGTGTGTTACTAACAGCTAAAAATCGCAGACAAAAACACGGGAATCCGCTACGAATTCGGGAGCCGATACCGCAAATCGCGAACGCAGCAAGCAGATTCGCATTTCACGATGCAATATACACGCAGGAACAACCCGCGTGTTACGCGAGCCGATATCACGTGCAGATTGCAGACAAAAACGCGGGAACCCGCTATGAACTCGCTTCTCAGGCACACCGGTACCGCCGATCGCGCCGTTGATGCGAGATTCACGTCGAACATTGCTTGACGTCCAATGGGAATCGGGGGGTGGGCAATGTTTCGGAATTTTTATGTTACAGATATGTAGCCAAAAGAAACGGGATGGGTGATCTCTAGGGGGGGGTACCCTTACAGGATTTTACGGTAAGTGCGAGGAGGGGGGGCAAGGTTAATTTGCGTTTTCGGGGGTGATTTTTTGTCAATCGTACAACCATACGAAATGGTCAAAATTGAGGACTCTCCCGGGTAATAAGGAAGACTTGGCAAGTGTGCACATGGGACACAAAAGCTTAATGGAAACACTTTAGGCAAGGCAGTCACAAAAAAAATTGAGGCAGAATTACTAGGCAAAATTCAACACGGGAAATAATTTAGAGGGAAGCAGCAAAAGTGACAGCGATGAGAATAAATGCAGCACTCACCTCGAGTCCAGTATTATATAAAAGGAAGCAGCCAGTCCCATACCTAGAAACAGAAGTGTCCAAATGGCATCAATGATGAAGTATGGATGCTGGGGGCTACAAATATCAAAGGGCCACACAACAGTTAGTTAACGAAAATTTAGAAAGTATTACTATACTAATTCAGGCACAAGGGTCCTACTGACTCTAGTAAGGAAGCCTGTTTGTACCTCCTGGAGGGCCCTTTGGGCACTCGCAGGGCAAGATAAATGCGGCAGTTATAGTTTGAAACCTTCCCTTTCGAAACTGCATCGTACAGAGCTTGTACCAAAAACAAAATGGAGAGACCATTTAGGAATGCCAAAAAACAAACTCGATACCTCTGTATTTAGGGTGTGGAGGGAGTGAAGTTCTAACTTCAGTCAACCAATGCTGGCAGAAACTGAGGGAGAGGAGGAGACGAGAGCATGCGGGTGTGCCAGAACGTCGGAATGATCGGTGGGTACTATCGGGGAAAAATGAAATGCGAACAGAGGAGCACGTGGCTCGCGGTACAGGCTGCGCCACCTGGAAGTGAGCCTAGGGGCGAGGGTGCGTGGCCTACTCCGATGTGTTCACGCCCTTCGCTCTGCGCTCCCCAAGCTTCGGCAGTGCGCCTCTCAGTGTGCTGAAAGCTATCACCACTATCTTTGCTCGCTCGGCGCATGCGGCGAGCTTCTTCACACCGCACGCGCTGAGCCAGCAAAGATAGCGGTGATAGCTTTCAGCGCACTAAGAGGCGCACTGCCGAAGCTTGGGGAGCGCTGAGCGAGGGGCGTGAACACATCGGAGTAGGCCACGCACCCTCGCACCTAGGCTCACTTCCAGGTGGCGCAGCCTGTACCGCGAGCCACGCGCTCCTCTGTTCGCATTTCATTTTTCCCCTATAGTACATGGAAAGCTAGCTGTTTTGTCTTCACCAGACTCGAATGCGTTTGAAAGCGAAAGCCAAATGCAGCATACCGGCATTTCACGTTCTAACGCATTTGACGAGTGCAGGGGAGACAAAGGCAGCTTTTGTCTTTACTGCATTGTACATGCTGCACAAACGTGCCAAAATGTGTAACGCCGGCGCTCACGCTCAAATGCATCCCTGCCGTTCCCATTCTATCATGATTATACAGCTACTATTTTCATTGTTACCTTTTAACATTTCTCAGAAAAGGGTTTTAACCTCGAGTTACCCTGCACGCAGCAGCAGACTCTGCGAAGGAAACGGATGTTGCTTACGTGCACTTGGCCTGGCCAATGTTGAAGCACAGCTGACCAACCAGGGCTGCACTCTGGTCCCCGAGACACTGAAATAACAATTGCATTGCACATCATTTTAATAAAAATCGTCATCATCAGTTAGCAGTACATAAATTTTTTGCTTGACTTCAAAGTTCGAGGCAAACTTAGCAAATACTATATCGAAACAAAACAGTAAATAAAAAAAAAACTTCCTTCATTTTTTTTTTTTTGCAATAAAATTTTTGATCAAATCTTTTTTTTTTTTTTTTTAAGATATACAGACCAATGGAGCAAAGACTCCGTGTCTGTATGAACATTGATATGTCGCAGCCTCTAATGCCCCATCTACCGTCGTGATAAATGTTCACACTCACGAGTGCTCACCAATACTACATACTGCAGACTAGGCGAGAAAGCAGCCACAATGCTTTGTTTGGAAAGCATTCTGATTAGAACATAGATTATCAAATACCTTTGCGAGCCTCTTTTGTGTAGTTAATTGTTTCCGATAGCTTCTTCCTTAACTTTCAACATCACAATCAGTTCTTGTTCATGGTTGAATGAGATAGAGCGGAAGTTAGCAGCATAAGCAAGTAGATTGAAGAGAGGACATTGAATCATCATTTAAGATGAGCTTTTGCACCTATATAGCCTATAGTGCAGAAATTAACGAAATTGATTAGTAAAGGTTTTTAAAAAAGCACGGCCAAACCTTGCTAAGCACATGCTTGTGATAAAAAATCTTCTCAAACTTAAATGGCAGGGAGTTATGACTGCCCTTGCACTTACTTACTGTTTAATTTCGTATGAACAATCTATTTGCATTTTTTGAAGATGACAGTTATGGTGCCCACACTTAAACACATAGGTAGAAAGTAAGTAAGTGTGAAATTTGATTTTCTCAGCAAGCTCAGTGGCTCCAAATGAAAAAATGTAAAAACGAAAAAATTTTGTGAGACTCACTCCAGATATAGGTACACCAGCAAGTGGTCCATCACATAGCATACCATAAATTTCAGATGAGCTACGTATGCTTGGAAGAACAGACATGGGCACTCCGAAAAAGCTGTAAACAAGAGACAAACATGAAAATTTCCCTCACTGCAACAATCAGACTCCTCAATGTCGTGAGACAATCACCACAAAGTGTCAGCATCAATGATTCATTGTTCTTTATGCTAATTACAGTTGGTACTACTTAAATACATATTCTCATGCTGGCCATAACATTTTCCGAAAAGAATCCGGCCCATCACCGAAGTGGAGGCAAGTTGACTAACTTCTCAGTCATTAGCTTCCTATGCTTTTCTGCCATTTCTCCAGTACATTACTCAGCAAGTACATAGTAGTCCGTAATTTTCTGCATCCAAAATTCTTCTGCCCCTAAGACCAGCCCAAAAATAGCAGCTATTGACCTGCTGATGAGTGCTTTTACTCCGGTCACCCTTAAGTTGCCACTAGAAGGTTTGCTTTCAGCACAAGCTCACTGGCTCCTGCAGTGCTTTGGTTGCGCATGCCTGCGCGTTCACACATGTGCTAGCAAGGGCAGAAAGAGTGCGCTGGAGGTGGAGCTTCTAGTTTCAGCTTCAGGGTGAACGGGGTATAGGATGTGGGCGCAACATAGCACACGTCACACTTGTGAGAGCCTGCAACTTATGAAGAGTGACAAGCAACAAAGAAGGAAGCTACCCCTCTATTCCTCCTTTCTATTCCAGAGTGGAAATAACTTGCCTCCTTTTTGTGGGGATCAGCTCCCATACCTGTTTTAACACCAAATGTGTTTGGTCAGTCAAATTCTATGACAAGGCTGCCATAAAGCACTGTCACAAAAAGCTGCCACATCAATTTCCCCACTAAATATAGTGGGAAAATTGTCACACAATGTTAATTTTACTGCTAAATTTAGTGGGGAAATTGAAATCCCACAACTATGTCATGTTATCTCAAGTCGTGACAACAATTTCTGCGACATGGTTCTGCAAGGTAGTAGTTTGCACTCAACACATACTGCACTCCCTGGTCTTTATCAGCATGATGAAGCTTGTGTAATTATAATATTCTTGGAGGAGAATTGGGGAACAGTGTAAGAGGGAATGGGGAGAAGGACAGTAGAAAAGGGATTTCTGCCAGGCAGAATGCACTGCTTGTGCAACAGGCCCTGGCCAAAGAGTAGCTTACTTGCACAGGTACTCATCCCACATTAGAGTTTCTATGTCCATGAGCATGGTCCGACTTGCATTGGTGACATCAGTGACGTGCACACCACCCTTGGTCCCACCAGTCAAATTCTAAAAAAATTGTAGGTGGTAGGCACACAGGCACAAATGTCAGCATGCTAAAAGCACAGACGGCCAAGACAAAACTTTTAACATTTCACTGATAGACGAAGACACAGCAACCGGGTCAACATAAACAGCATTAGATAACTGAGAAACTTGGCAGAGATAATATAGTAAGGGTGCAGGTGAGCTGGTGAATGTTAACCATGTTGAATAAACCTGAGACTAGAGGCTCCAGTCTCAGGTTTATTCAACATGGTTATACTCTGCACATCAGTTTAAATTAAAAACCACAATAAAAGAAAACGCAAGTTACGTCTGCGAATTTTAGGCACTTCTAGTGAGACTGTCACACTATTTTTGTGTGTTCTGTGGATTATCTTGACTCCCAGAGCTTAAACAGAAAAAGAGGCTTCGACTTTTTTTAAGGTTACATCATACAAAAAGTAAAGAAAAAAAATGCCAGCAATGCTGCAATATATTTTGCAGGTTAGAGTTCACAACCTTGGAAAATAAATACTCACAAATAAGATCCAGGTATCCACAGTACCAAACATGCATCGCCCATCCTCTACAGCTTGTTTCACGCCAGGAATGTTTTCAAGAAGCCACACAAGCTTCACAGCACTGAAGTATGTGCTCAGGGGAAGCCCACACTTTTTCTGAAAGCACAAATAAGATCTCACCAATGTAGGAAGCAAAGTCGCAGCACTATTGAACACAAAGTAAAATACACATACGGAACTGTCTTTGCACCATAATGGTTTTGACATTTCTTTTTCAAAGTTGGCTCTTTCAAGCTAGGTTCCTAGGAGTTGAAGGCTATCCCAAGGTGCCTCAAAAAAAAAAAAAACTTGGGAAGGCCCTAAAATGAAATAACAAATAACTGCAGCTTCATAAAAAAAAAAAAAAAAAAAAGTTGCTTTTAACATTTTTGCAAAGCAATGCTTCACCACAAAAATAAGTTCCAACCTATCTGGCTACTGAAAAAAATGAGACGTTCACAATTCCCTGGAATGCCAATTAGAGCGCAGCTCTTGAGGAGGAGGAGGGGAGGATACGGAGGGGAGGGTCACGTGTGATGTCACGAGAGTAAAATTTTCCCACTACATTTAGTGGTAACATTTTACCCTCAAGACGTCACATGTAACATCATTATGGGAAACGTCCCATAATGGAATGCACGATTACGCCAACGCCGACAGCGACGCCGCTCAAGCTGGAAAGGGGCGCCTAAGAGCTATGCTCTAAAATTAGAAATCTGTTCCTGTTTCTCAACTTTGTCACAACTTTTTCCTAATATTTGACGGGCCTTTGATTCTGTTATGTGGTAAAGTATGTCTGAAGATGCAAAGTCGTAGAAACACAAGTTGTTGCTCACTCACCTTCAGATACTCTTTGTCGTGACCTGGAATTTTGTCGAGCAGGTGTTCCACAGTGTCTGTCGTCCGGTTGTCCAACCACACTACATGGTTGGTAGAGAGACAAAAGCAGCGTTTTATTCCCGGTTGCATACCGAGATCATTTTGTTGATGCTAGCGAGAATACGGGACGCAGGACATGCAAAATGTTTTGAACACTAAGAAAGCAAACAACATGTGCCAAAACAAAAGTAAACATTCGGAGAGTCTCAATGGTAAATCCAAATTTAATAAAATTGCCCCTACAAGAAATTTTTACCATTTCCAGGAATCTAAACACCATAGTATCTAATTAGTTTCCTATATATAAAAGTCAAAGCTAGAAAAAAAAATTAATCTATTTAGAGTTCTAGAAACATAAAAACTTTAAAAACATATGCTAGGTAACCATCCTTAGATATATATTATACAGCCATACACAGTGCATGAAATTGTACATTAGGTTTGGAACAGCTGCTGCAGAACCAAGTCAGAAACCGTCATGAAAACTACAGTGAAACAACTTGCAGTTATAAAATTAAAAGCGCTAACAATAGACAGGGACAAAAAAGAAAGGCGAACAGGACAAGCTTTCGCCCTGTTCGCTTTTTTTTTTTTTGTCAATGCTTCGCCTCTTTTGTACCCCTTGCAGGCACCATTCATTTTGTGAGGTTTTTGTAAGATGGTATGCACATCTTCGAGTGAATGGGACTTACCAATTGCGTTGTGCAAAGGTTTGCCAGTGACCTTGTCCCAAACTATGGTAGTCTCTCGCTGGTTGCTAACTCCAATCGCTACACAGATAAAGGGAGAGAGATTGACAAGAGTTGAGTTCTGGTTGTATGTTTAGAAACTACACTGTCCCTGTCAGAGTGATTACAATCATAGAAAGTTAAGTTTTGATCGCCACTTTTATCTATTGATACATTCATTTTATTTTGGGACACCACCAAGTTTGCTTCATTTAAGCTCAGCATTTATTACCTGGGAAAGGCTACCTCTGCCAGGCATTTGAACTGTATTAAAATTGAACTTTCCAATAGTGTTCTTTTGACACCTGGAATCCACAGAAAGAACCCCCTTACAAACCATACCACAAATCGCAGACTCCAGAGTTCACAGGATCAAAACAAACGACAACTTATCACCACATCCTACTAGGTGACAAATCTCATGACTATCTGCTTGTCATGATACTTCTTCGTAAACCATTTTTGAAACCTGATTCCTAGGACTAGCCTACTGGAATTTGCAAAAAATAGTGCAACCATTGTTTAATCATGCCAATTTTTTTTTTATATCTCTTTTTAGGTTGGCAGTATCCAAAGTGGAAAAAAAAAAATGTCAAGGTGATTATTTTGGTGTTACACTCATGTTTGCTTAAAGGGATACTTCAACGAAATTTGAAATATTCCCGTCGTGTTCAAAAATAGGTTGAATATGATCCACAATATCCGTGAATGACAATCGCAAGTTTGTCTTTTGATCCTGGTGGCTGTATTTTTCGTTATAAACGGCCCACTCTGGCAAGCGCTCGGAGAAGGCCCAGCTTAGAGCACGTGACATCCAACGCAATCGTGACGTAGGTCGTCTCAAGACGAGCAAAGCTACGGCGAGGCTGACGTCGATATGATGGCCTAGTCGTTCCAGCCACCGAAGCGGCTGCTTTTGTACGAATTTTGAGTGACGGGTTAATCTTCTATAATCTTCTAGGGGGACAATAGCGACTTCCGCGACACACAAAAGGGATTCTCGGGAAGAGGGGAGTTCCTCCTTCCCCCCTTCTCTCGTCGTGGCCGAAAACGAGACAACGTCCGTCACTAGCTGTCAAGGTTCCTAGACGAGCATTACAAACGAGGCGTTAGCGACATCCACCAGGTGCTCTTTGCCAATCGTTTAATTCGTTTTAAAATTCCTTTTCGAGACTTTTTTAACAAGATATTGGTATGTTCCATGTGATACTGCTCTTTTGAACACATATAGACCAAAAAAATGAGCGCCGAAATTTCGTTGTATTATCCCTTTAAAGGGAAGCTGAAGTGATTTTGTATGCGAGGAAACACACTTAAACCATCTTCATTTGACCTCCAGGATCTCGAATGTCGAAATTATTTTCTAATTTGGTACATGGATGCTGCAGAAAACCATTTTCAAGTAGCGCTGAAGGCCCTCCTTCCTGGAGCGTGACGTGACAAAAAAAGTTTTCGGAACCTCTGCTCTCGCGCATCTGCAGCGCCTATTAAAGCCATGCACGCGCACTCTTGCTATTCTTAAAAAGGGCAGAAAAAGATGTCGCAACTGGTGCCAGTGTGCAGGAATACACCTGGCAAGCTTGCGATTACACACGCCGCCCTCGAGTGACGTGCGCTTGGCGGCCAAAAGATCCTCTTACGACGCAACGACTGGTCAGAGGTGTTCTGTGTTTTCTCGCATTTAGTTACATCTTCGGGTGAAAACGAACATCATATTCAGATTCACGGGATATAACTATGCTGGAATCAACCGCTATCTCATTTTTTGATAAAAAGTGTTCCAGCTACCCTTTAAAGCCAAATAATCAGTCTGCAAAGATTTATCAGGGTAAACTTAAAACATGTACTAGATCTGTTAAATTTTACTTTTCATTACAACTTCAAAGCAGCTAGCATCCGATTTGCACTATATGAGCTAGAGAAGCACCAGCTTGCCCTGTCATTTCAACAGGTCAAACGTTGACCCAACGTCTTATTTAAATGAGAAAAAAAAAAAAAGGTTTAAAATGACACTGTTTAGTAGACAAAAGAAAGCTCAAGTTCAGAGGCTCCCATGCTAAACTCCCCCGACGTTCCCTGCTTTATTGGTTCGGAATAACAACTCAGGTTTTTTTACAAAGCCAACACCTTGAAGAAAACTTCAGACTTAAGTTTTTTAAAGAATGAATAAAAATAAGAAGGAATGAAGAAGAAGAAAAAATAAGAAATAATATATATATATATTCTTTTGTTTGTATTCTGTTAGTGCCCTAAAAGGGTCTCGTGCAAAAGGCTATAAAGCCTCACAAAGGCTGGTTCTCATAAAATCACAACTTTTTCGTGCCTGAAGTTACTTTTCTTTTCTTGTTTTTCTATGCAAGGATAAACGGGCTAACAAAGGGGCGTGGTCGAGCACCATTGACAAGTTGGTTGAAAGCATGAGAGCAAGCTGACTTGGGGGCCTCGTCACATTACCAGATCCGTGCATTGTAGAGTGCAACAGGCATATGAACTTAGCTTATCAGGTAATTGGGAGTTGACCCTTTTCAAGTTAACTAATTGGCAGTAAACTTCGATAGATTTTGCTCCAACAAAAAAGTGATGCATGCTTTTTCGTTCACCAAAAAGGGTTTTTATTTAATTGTAATCTAGGGCATTGCTAAACTTACACTCTTCCCACTGTATACTTAAAATGGAGAGCGTGCTGGTAAGGATAATATAAATAATGGGGAGAACATAAAACACAGGTATGGACAAGATTTTTTTGAATACTTAGGTATACTGCAGTTGCTAATGTTTTAATAAAAAAACAAAACAAAAAATAAAAAAAAATTGTCCTATAAAAATAATTTACCAAAATAAAGAAAATGCTGCATCTTAAAGCAAGAAAGCCATGTTTGGATGCATGTAAGGAGACGGCTACACTTATGTTAAAAGGAAGCCAGTTGCAGCCCAATTGGTAGTTCCCATGAGCTTCTGCAGCTGATAGCAGGGAAATGATGCAAATGACAGCACTCGGCCATGCAGCCTATCCTAGCAACTGGGTAGCACACAAGCCTGTCAATAGGGCTAGTCCGTTTGTCCGTAAAACAGTGCCATCTGTTGTGCTTTTATAGTTATGAAACATTAGAGCTATTCCGCTTATAACTACCGTCAAATACCGGGCGAGCGCACACTCAAGATTTAAAGATAATCGTAAAAAAATGGGGGATGGGCGCTTGACCGGTCATCAATTTTAAATATCAATGTGCCGTGGATATTTTCTCAGATCTTACAAATTTGGGAACGGGCACTTAGTGTGGAATGGCCAGTATTCTATGGTATACATTTTTATTAAGTAGTTTCTCCAGCTGATGAATTTTTTGCTTTGCATGCCCAACAAAAAAGCTTGTAAAATAGCAACAATGAAAAAAAAAAAAAAAAAATAGGCACCTGCACATCAACTGTCCTAAGGCATGCCAGAATTTTATGCCAATGAAACTCAGCAGCCAAGCCATGTCACACTGTTTGTGATTTTAAAAACAATAAACTTGTATCCACATTTCTTTATAATACCCATGGATAAGTGCAACCAGGACCAGTAAAGGAATGCCGCCGGCAGCTATCACTCGTCTTATCTCAGTGCTGTAAAGCACACTAATAACTGAACAAGTTTGGCAATGCAAGTGTCATCAACCTAGGACCCCAAATATCCTGTTTCTATCACCGTATACAAGAGTATCTTGCAATCTAAGAGCTCAATCAACCACCTCGGGGCCCAAATATCCAGTTTTCGTCGCTCTACAGAAGATTATATTGCAATCTGACAGCTCAGTCAGTTGTAGCCGGAAATAATGTTGCGATAAACAAGACACTATTATTGTAACCCAAGATTCACACCTTTTATGTCTCGAGGGTCAATTTCAAGGTCTTTTAGTTTTTCCACCGTATTCTCAATGCACTCGTAGACAGAATTCAGGATTTCCATAGGGTCTTCTTCAACCCACCTGAAACAAATAACAGAAAAGAAATGATGGCAGCTTATAATGTGCTCAAATTATAATAAAGTGACCTTTCTTTCTAACCTAGTACTGCAATCTGGGAAGAAAATACCTAAAACATGGCAATAAAGGCTGACCTACGATATCTTCAGTGGTGCTGAAAATATTGTCCTTTCTCTATCTTTGTACATATCAATGGTGGAGAGAAGATACTGTTTTGTAAGAACTTTGAGGAATGGTAAAAAGAAGTGTTCTAAGGGGACTCATTATGGCATGCGCATGAATGTGGCTCACTTTCCTGTAGCAACTGAGAAGGGGAGTGTGGTGGCACCGGGAGATGATGAAGCCTGGCCGGGCGAGCAAGTGGGCTAACAATGCGGAGCACAAGTTTGTCTGCTTCTTGCACAGGGGGCTCGATGATGTCATAACGCTGAGCTCTTATTGGCTGTTCAAAAGAAATAGTGGGTAGACGTCAAGGCATCTAGCATTGACGTCTACCCACTATTCTTTCAATTAAAACCAATGAGAGTTCTGCATTGTTCTGACGTCATAAGAACTCCTGTGCAAGAAGCAGACGACTTGCTCTCCGCACAGAAACACAAAGAGAGACGCGATGAACATGCAGCAGTCCCCACTGCAAGTGGTGAGTGGCAGAGAGCCGAAAGCTGAGAGGACTTTTCTTTGTGCTCAATGCTTGCTTGCGCCGCAGCTTGCTTTATCTTCGCCTCTTTGCTCGCTCCACGCCTTTCCTTCCACACGTTTTTTCCATGGCAATTTGATTTTTGTTTTATCACCGCGGCGTGGCACCACTCACAGGGCCGCAAAGTTAGAGAGCCTACCCAAAGTGCATTCTTTCAGCAAGCCAGATCCTGCTGCACTGCAAACTACTACTACTACTACCCCCCGCTGCTCACAAAATGGTTATGTCCAACCCTAAAATATTCCTGGGGAGAGCCCTGTAAGGCACTCAAAAAAAACAAAATAAACCGTTTCTGCACAATTCAGTGCAGTTGTGATGCAGCAGGATAATCTTGAAAATGGATCCTGTAGAAATAACCTGGTTTTCGTGGGCTGCCAGGTTCTGCTAACGAAACGTGGGAAGAATCCGAACGAAGTGTTATATCGCTATGCAGTAGTAATTTTGGCATTCAGGTTGAACCATTCATAAATGAACGCGCCCATAGAATCGGTCGTTTCTCTTCAACCAAAAGCAGGCCGATTGTTGTTGAGCTTCGTTCAATCAAAGAAAACCAAAACATATTAGCCAAAGCTCACAAACTAAAGTGCAGTCATTTGTCAATCAGCAAAGAATTTTCAATATGTGTAATGTCCGAGAGAAAGAAACTGCTTTAGTATGCCAAGGAGCCCAATGAAAGCTTCAAACACCTCTTTAACAGGCTTGCTATAGGTGGAAAAACGTTTATGTATGATTGTGCAACTGACCGTGTTGCTGAATGCGTCTGATAGCCATCAAAGTCCCCTGTTGAACATCGTAGAATTGAACTAAAAGAACTTGTTTTTGTCGTTATACACTGTTGTATATTAAAAATAAAACAAAGGAGTTTGCTGATCTGATTTCCGTAATTAATCCCAACCAGAGTGTCAAACGTGTTTTTCATGTAAACATTTTCGACGGACATCCGTCTGGTTAGGAATGATTAATAAATCTTCAACTTAGAAACTCTAACCAAGCTTTATTAAAAAGCAAAAATCCCGACGTTTCGGAACCAACTCGGTCCCTTGTTCACGGGTGACTGTTTTTTGTCCCGCGGAACGGCCTGCCCACGAACCCGAACACCCCCGGGTGTTTTCCGGATTATCCCTCTTAACCCCGAAACGTAGCTGCTGGGAAGGGTCCCCGTCGACCGGTTTATGTTGCCACGTGTGCATTGAATGTGCCACGACTCCAACAGGAGGCGCCTCCGCCAGTTTTTCTCCGTTCCGTTGTTTCGTTGTTCGCAGTGTGAAACATCGGGTTGCAGGGTATGCCAAAAAGGACTTAGTGCTCGCATGATAGATCGGCAGGCAAATACAGAAAATGTGCAGAAAGAGAGAGATCATAAACAATATTTTTTTCTAAATACTCTCATACACAATGTCTCACTAAAAAAAGAATACATAGAGATGCATGCAATTACATTCCTAATTGTACATAAAGAGTGCGAAAGACGAAGATTCTTAGAATTCTAAAATAAATCACATTTGGGCATTACCTTGCATGAGCCCCAAACTTTGTGAAAAACTGCCACAAGAGGTTAATGTTATATTCGGCTTTATGTGCACTTGTTTTAGGCCCTCACTTTACACCTCTGTGCTTTATCAGTCACGCGCTTTAACATTTCATTAGGCTGCCACATATCATTGTGAGACTGCTATATATACTGTGCAACTTTACAATTAGAACATCTATTGCTAGCGTTGCAAACACTGCATATCTCCTGAAAGCTGAACTGTTTAACATGGTTTGCACGTGACACCATCAAACTATATGCCGATGGACATTGCGATTTGTTCTTGTTCAGAAAATCAAATCCGGGGGTGCAAAATGCACACTGCAAAAGGTCTGCACTCAGTGCAAGCCATGTATTTCAGAGGCACAAATTATTATTCTTGGCACAGCATCATAAGGAATGGTGCGAGCATCTGGCACCACGAAAACGCGCTTTCTGGCAAGACTAATTTTGCAAAGTATTTTCCAAAGCCACACTTTCTGGCCTGTGCCAAAGATGTGGAGGAGCCTTTACAACACAGTATGTTTCTAAAACTACACCCCTTCCTCCCCCTTTTTTTTTTCGTTGCTTCTTTAGAGAATATTTTTAATTCTAGAGGGACTGCCTCCTTTGTTTGGGGGTGTTAATCTGACAATTATATTTGTCTCACTTGATAATTATTCTTACGTTCCTTTTATTTTGCACGCAACTGTGAAGTTCAAACAAACTACAGGGGTGATCAAAACTTGTAGAAGGACTTGAGAACGACGCAGGGGTGATCAAAACTTGTAGAAGGACTTGAGAACGACGCCGTTGTGAGACTTAGCGCAGCTGCCAACGTTCGGCTGTCCCTCTTAGGCCACTAGGACCTTTCTTTTCAGGTATCCCTCTTGTACAGTTAAAGTTTTATGTAACGTCAGATTAAAAGGTCACATTTAGTCCTTTCAATACTTCTATTTTTGGTGACAATTTCTGAGGCAGTTGAGCAACAACTAAAGCATGTTTGGGTGCCCCAATGATGTGTATACGTGGGTCGTGCAACAAGTTTTGCAACAATTTTTATAATTTCAGTAAATACAGCTAAGTAATCCCTGATGTTGATAACTTGCAAGAACATCCATTAGCTTTCCGCTCCGTACAATGGCAGACGAAGAAGAAATAAAGAAAAGAAACAGCTTCCCTCTCCTCTACTGGCAATGAGAACAAGCCGCCATATTATCTGGTGCTAATTATATACCGTCAGTGTTCATCATAGTCATGTGTTGGGTTGGCAAAAACATAAGTATGAGCTGAGCTTCAGATATTGTTAAAGTTGGGCTATTATCATCTTTAACTGAACACGAGCCATTACCCAAATGTTTGGCAATGCTGATTGTCATGAACCAGAGTACTTGACTCGGGGTCGTGAAAATTGTGTATGTCACAGTGTCACGTGACTCTCGGTGCGAAGTCGTGATGTCACGTTATGCCATGGTGAAAAGATATGTTATAAATCTAGTGACATTTTTAATTTAAATCAACATGACATAGTGAGTCACGTGATGTAACGAGGTCACGTGACGTGACATTAACTGACAGCATGGCGTTACGCGAGTACATTTCACATGATTAATCATAGTGCCAAGACAAAACCAGCATGAAAACCAACAATTTCTCATAAAATGCAATTCTGTATATGACTATTTCGAAAATACATTGAAATACAGCTGCCAATTTTCTATTCCACAATATTCATTTTGTGACCGTGAACCATTTTGAACCAGTTACCATATTATTTTTTCTGGTTCAGTTCCAAGATGGCGGAAAAATAATGGTTCGGTTTCAGTTCGGTTCGACACCCAGATCCCAACATAGTTATGGTATATAATCGTGGTTGGGCGACACCATTTGAGATTTAGAAATATTTCCTTCTCATTTCAACATCTACCGTAAAGATTGTAATGCACGCGGAAGTGTCGTTTTAATGACCCTTCATGCCTTCATGTCTGGTGCAAGATAGAATTGGAGAACGCAAAGCAGATAGCCATTGGATCTTTTTACAGGCCTCCGGGAATCAGCGATACGAAACTGCTGAAGGTGTTATCTGATGCTTTATCTGTGTCAGTGTCTGTAATCTTAGGCAGCGACTTCAATCTTCCCGATATCAACTGGTCAAATAAGCTACCCATTTCGTGTTGCAAATCTAGTCTTTTCTCCACTTTTGAAGCCATAATTCGAAAATGGGTTTAATCAAGTTGTAAAAGCTCCCTCCCACGAGATATGCTGGGTCAAGCTCATCACTTTAGACCTTGTGCTTTGCAACAACCTTACGTTTGTTTGGTAGATTAATACATCTCTAGGTACTTGTGATCATGAGATAGTTGTTAGTAACATTAACTGCGACAATGTCAGAATTAAAAAACTGCATTCAAGGAAAATATTTTATTATGATAGGAGTAACTGCGACGGCATATCGGATAACCTATCTTCGTTCCTACCAGAGTTTGAAGAATGCTCCGTAGAAACGAATATTGACAGTTTGTGAAATCTTTTTAAAAGTGAGCTTGCTGAATTTGTTGGTCCTCATGTAGCATCCAAAATAATCACTCCGAGACATAGAATGGACTAGCCTTGGATAAATAAAGAGGTACATTCTCTTATCAATAAAAATCATATGCTCTACCAATGATGCCGTAAAACGCAATCTGGGGATTTACTCAATCAGCTCGGGAGGGTTAGGTCTTTCCTAAAACAAAAAATAAAGAAGTACAAATCAAAATTTTTTTTATTTCCCTTAAGATAAAACTGGCGCCTAACGCGAAAGAAGGTTGGAAGTTAGTTGAATCTAACAGAAAAGATGAGATTGGCATTGCCGCTATCTCCAATGGCCATAACACTTTTGCTCAGGACATTCATAAGGCAGCCTGCTTCAACGCCCATTTCCCGTCTGTTTTTTCTCTGCCATATGCCGAAGCTTTTCCATCTTAAACGGAGTTTATTGCTGTCCCAATGTCCGACATTGTTGTTTCGGAAAACGGTATGCGTTCTTTGCTCCAAAGCCTTAGATCGGGGGCTGCAAGCAGACCTGATAGCATTTCTAACCTTGTCTCGAAGAAATATGCTCGTGATTTGTCAAAGTTTTTAGTTATATTGCTTAACAAATCCTTCAAAGAGAGTAGGCTTCCCCCCGAATGGAAACTTGTGAAAGCTGCATCGATTCACAAATCAGGTGCTAAAAACGTCACTAACTATAAGCCGATATCGCTCACCAGTGTATGCTGCAAAACCATTAAACATATTGTTTACTCCAGTATCATTAGACATCTTGAAATTAACAAATTTTTCACACCTCCGCAACACGGTTTTAGATCTGGTTTTTTCATGCGTCACACAGCTAAGCCAGTTTTCCCCCAACAATTTGCCTTTGTATGACGAAGGCTTCCAGGTAGATTCTGTATCTTTTTATTTTCTAAAAGCCTTTGATGCAGTTCCGTATGCCCCTCTTATACATAAATTATTGTCACTGGGGCTAATGACAGGTGTCCTTAGGTGGATGGAAAGTTATCTGTCTAATAGAAAACAATGTGTCATCATCAATGGTGTTTCTTCTCACTACGTCGACTTAAACCTCCAGGGTTCCTCAAAGCTCAGTCTTGGGACCGTTGCTCTTTTTGGTCTGCATTACTGACATCACAAAAAGAATTTCATCTAATTTAAAGTTATACGCGGATGATTGTACAATTTATCGAAAGGTACAGGGTTATCAGATGTCGCTGCCTTGCAGCAAGACTTAGATCTGGTATTATCATGGTGTGAAACATGGAAAATGAGCTTAAACATAAAAAAGTGCTGTTATATTCATTTCACCAGAAAGCGCAAACCTGTTTTGTCACTATCATTTGAATGGTCACTGGTATGATAACGTTGATAAAGTGCTGTTATATTCATTTCACCTGAAAGCGCAAACCTGTTTTGTCACCATCATTTCAATGGTCACATGCTTGATAATGTTGATAAAGTGCTGTTATATTCATTTCACCAGAACGCGCAAACCTGTTTTGTCATTATCATTTGAATGGTCACTGGCTTGATAATGTTGATAAAGTGCTGTTATATTTATTTCACCCGAAAGCGCAAACCTGTTTTGTCACTATCATTTGAATGGTCACTGGCTTGATAACGTCGATCATTTTAAGTACCTAGGCGTTTATTTTTCTTCCGATTTGAGTTGGAATAAACACATAAATTATCTAACAAATAACACTAGTGGTGTATTAAATATCATCAAATGTAACTTCAAAATTGCACCAGTTGTTGTAAATACGAACTGTTTATCAGTTTAAATCTACAACTCAGGCTTCGTTAAACACAGAAGAGTTATTTTGCATGGCGTCTTTTGTGGCGTTCCTTTTCGATCTCTCTTGTTCCCACACCGGGCTGTTGCTGTTGCTCGCGTCTTCCTTCTCTCTACTCCCACCCACGTTTCAAATTCCGCTTCTTTTCCCGTCCGCTTAGCTTTTCGCACCCCCAGATGGTTGATGGCGGCGGCAGGCATCTCGCCCTGCTCAAGTTCACCCGAGCTGGTATAAACATGACGTGAGGTCGTGTGGGCAAAGCTCAGTCCGTCAGGTGCCAGTCGAGGTTACCCGAGCATCCACGTGCTTTCTCTTTATGTGTGCTTATTTTTCGTCTTGTCTGTTTACGTTCTTACGCTGCGCCGTACCACGTGAGATTTATCGCCATCTCGTTGTCGGTTTTTCTGTTTCTTGCCCTCCCGGGCTCCGAGTCAGAGTTCAAACACCAGTGTCTCCAAAGGAAGTACTCTATGACACAAACGTTTGACCAATTCTTGAGTATGCATGTACGGTGAGGGACCCTCATACACAAAGTTTAATTTATAAATCAGAATGTATTCAAAATCGTGTAGCTCGGTTTGTCAGTGGCAACTATAATTTCCACTCCAGCATTTCAAACATTAGGAGCCAAGCTGGATAGAATCTCTTCAACCAATGAAGAAAATTTGCATGTTTCAAGCTATTTTACAATATTTTTCGTGATCAAACTGGCATTGATAAAAACACCTATATGAGGGTTCCACATTATATCTCAAAGAGAAGTGATCACAAGATGAAAATTTGTGAGTTTACCTGCCACAAAGATGTTTTTGCTCATTCTTTTCCCTTACCATTAGAGAATGAAACCGTCTGGACAGTTCAATTAACAGTTCACCTCCTAACATGTTTTTCTCAGTTTTACAAGATTCTTGTTACCGTTAAGTGTCTAGTTTTGTGGTGCTATTCTAAGCATGCATTGTATTGCTTTTTTTTTTTTTTTGTAATGTTGTAACCCCCTAAAATAATGCCCCTGGGCAATGTAGGTATATGCATAAATAAATAAATAAAGTAAAAGGCATGTTTGTGCAATGTTCTTTAAATAAACTAATCGAGACACAACATACTTAAACACAAAGTGCAGGAAGTATCCCATGATCAAAAACTTGGCATGATGCTTTAAAGGCACACTGACAGGGTATTTATGCTCGCCAAGGTTTTCATTTGTACATGACACATGAGAACCAAACTACTCAGAACACAATTTGCAGATCAAAATTTCTTTTCTTTCCACCCGAAAACCGCCGGTCGAGAAGTGGCCAATTTGAGTCGCGCTCACTCTCTCCTTTGTGGGCACGTGCCAATTTCGATGGTTTAGGCACAACCGCCAAAGATAATCAAAGTCGTGGGTCATCGAAGGCACACACTCAGTACTAAAAATTGACAGAAAATATTATACCCATTTTTTGCAGCTTGTAAAAAACTGCAAATACATTGATTGACAAAAAAAAAAAGTTGCACAGCCACATGAATTATGGCAACACTCTCCTCTATATTTCTTCTTCCTCCCATGTCCAGTTTCAGTTTCGAGCAGTCACATTTTTTTACTTTATTAAAAATATATGCGACACTGTGGCAAAATATTTATTGGGTAATCTCCTGACACCATGTTAAATCGCTGGCAAAGAATTCAATAAAAATTTGTCAAGGGGGTGTCAGTGTCCCTTAAAAATTTAAACTATCAACATCCCTGTTGATAGTTCCAATTAATCATCTCGAACATAATTTAAAAAAAGTTACTTTGCAGCCAGGTACTCTGTTTCGGATCCTTGGAATGTATTTAAAGAAAAATACAGGTGACAGCTTCAGATAATAACAAAATGTTTGCTTCTCCAAAAAGAACAAAAAAAAACATTTCATCATCCGGCTGCAAGCGACTTTCAAAATAGAAGAGTGCAATGTGAACTGAAGTGCTACTGCATGAACGGTTCTACGTTGAATGTTCATGATCTAACAACTTTTAAATTTGTAGTGTTCCTTTCCTAACTATGCACACGCTTAGACGTGACGCAAAACATTCCAAGCGTGGACACTCTCGCTCAAGGCCACGCATACGAAAAAGCAGTCATTGTTGTTTGACCTTAGTTGAAGGCGCTTTTGAAATAGATGCATATTACGGGCGTCACACGGCCCATGCCCCAGCGATCTACGGGGGGGGGGGGGGGGGGGGGGGGGGGATATCTCGGAAACGCAAACACCCAGAGTACAGATAACCCTTCTATTATAAATCATATCGCACGAGACAGCGATGATCGGCCCGCTGGCGCACATACCCATCCTTCGGCAAGATGTGCTCGATCTCGACTTGGTGATAGGCAATAAGCTCGGATGTTTTGCTGGCAAACGTCTGAAAAAAGAAGACAAAAAAAAAAAAAGACAAAAATGGTTAGACAGCGCCTTATCGGAGTGCAGTAAATAGCGCTGATCAAAGCTGTTTTCAAGTTTCCTCATTTGTAAAACGAGGAAAAAGCACAAGTTGCTTCTTTTGAGATTTCTTTTCGTAAAAGTGGAGAGGAAATCGATTTTAGGGGTTTTGTTATAAACAGCGGAAGGTGGCCTGCTTACACACCGAACACATCGGGGTTAAAAGTTTGCAGCCCCGTTGGTAGGGCGGTGAGCGGATGAAAGTGCTTGAACAGCGCGGACGACCGGCAGAAAGCACGGCAGTATAAATTTGCACAGGTCAGGTGTTAAACTAGGGAGACGCGCCCGAGCAAGCGTACAGCAAAGGCTGCTGGAACATGTTTCTGTCTCGAACAGAACGCAGCCGACAGAGTTGCAACAGCGAACACGTGCTTTCGGCGCCGACTCACCAAAAAGCGGGTGCTGCTGGTTCCCTGGTCAATGGCCCCAACGAGCGGGCCATGCTTGCCGCTCACGATCTTGGTTGGGGAAGCCATCGGCTGCACCTTGGAATGCTGGTTCATCGCTGTTTAATTGCGGTAAGTTCGCACGAATACGTGACCGAGGTGCAACCTGTACGCAATCATCACTTACCGTATGCGAGCACGTACTTTACGATACAAACGTGACGCGCACCACCCGTACTTTGTAGAAAGCCGGCAAGCCGCGGCGCCGCGGAAGCAACACTTTTTTTTTTTTTTTTTTTTTCGTGCGTGTGGCGGACAGTGTTTGCGGAGTAAGGACCGAATGCCGCCAGACTTAGCCAAATACGTTCTTTCCCGCCAGGTGTCCCTTACATCTTTTTCTTTTTTAAGTTGTTATTCGTGATTATAAATACAAAGAGGTGCTTTTCAACGCTTACATATTCAAGAAAACACGGAGATTGAGCACTTACTGATCGGATCGCCCAGCAACAAAAGAAATGCAGATTCGGGTATTCGCGCCACTTCCGGCCGCCATGACAGGGGGATAGAAATACTTCTGGTTCTCCTATGTTTACCTTGTGTTTCGTTGTGGGTGTGATCGTGTGCTACGGCTCTCGATTCTCTAACGAGCTATTAGGCACTAGTCATTTTATAAATGTATTCAACCTCGTTGGGAGTACTGCAACGTTGGAGTGCTGTAACCGTACACTAGAGCTTCGCTTTGCTAGCGGGAGCGCGTGCCGTCACTCGAAGCACGCGAAGCATGGCTTGGGCGCGCTCCTGCTGGGCCGCTTTCCTCAGCGGAACATCTAACCAACGAATCTAACTAAAACTTAATTGCGTGAAAAAGTACGTTCTAAAAGCGCTAAAAATGCCGCAGTGTTGTGCTTCCGGCTGCACGATGCGCACCGGCACGAACAAAATGTCCGAAGTGAAGTTCTTTAGATTTCCTCGAGACGAGGGTCGCCGTCGAGCTTGGGCGACCGCAGTTCGACGTGTCAACTTCCTTCCTAACAATGGCACGAGGATATGCAGCAAGCATTTCACAACGGGTAAGCGGTTGCTACAAAATTTGGCTTAGTTTAATCTTTTCCTATCGCAAGCGGTGACCTTTGTTAAACTGTCGTGGTCTAAGTGTTATTCTGTCGTGGTCATTGTCTAAGTACCAACATTTTGTTTGGCGCTATCTGGCAACTGAAGTGACTGAAGCAAGAAACATTGCGTATGCCTGGAAGTGGCATTGTTTAAACGTGAACTATGCGGAGCGCAAGTTCGTCTGCTTCTTGCACAGGGGTGGCGATGATGTCAGCATGCCAAGCTCTTATTGACTGATTGAAAAAAAAAAAAAAAATCAAAGCTAGTCAGGGCTCGGCGTCGTTGTGACGCCTCCGCAACTTGTGCAAACGTTGCTAGTCGGTGACAGCCAGGTCAAGAACAAAGTGGAAGCTCCTCCCACCCCTTTCCACTTTAGTAGAGCGAACGCTGGAGAGGAGGCGACCTCCTCTCCACCGTTCGCTCCGCTGAAGTGGAAAGGGGTGGAAGGAGCTTCCACTTTGTTCCTGACGAGGAACTCCCGCGGAAGGGGGTACCCCACCTCACTTACTTCAGTTCGCCTCCCGTAAAGCACTGGATAATCCAGTGCTTTAAAGGGATACTTCAACGAAATTTGAAATATTCCCGTCGTGTTCAAAAATAGGTTGAATATGATCCACAATATCCATAAATGACAATTGCACGTTTGTATTTTGATCCTGGTGACTGTATTTTTCGTTATAAACGGCCCACTCTGGCAAGCGCTCGGAGAAGGCCCAGCTTAGAGCACGTGACATCCAACGCAATCGTGACGTAGGTCGTCTCAAGACGAGCAAAGCTACGGCGAGGCTGACGTCCGGAGGATGGCCTAGTCGTTCCAGCCACCGAAGCGGCTGCTTTTGTACGAATTTTGAGTGACGGGTTAATCTTCTATAATCTTCTAGGGGGACAATAGCGACTTCTGCGACACACAAAAGGGATTCTCGGGAAGAGGGGAGTTCCTCCTTCCCCCCTTCTCTCGTCGTGGCCGGAGACGAGACAACCTCCGTCACTAGCTGTCAAGGTTCCTAGACGAGCATTACAAACGAGGCGTTAGCGACATCCACCAGGTGCTCTTTGCTAACAAGATATTGGTATGCTCCATGTGATACTGCTCTTTTGAACACATCTAGACCAAAAAATTGAGCGCCGAAATTTCGTTGTAGTATCCCTATAATCGCAACCAATGAAGCGAAGCGGGGGGGGGGGGGGGGGGGCGGGGGGGGGGGGGGTGTTGCTGGTGTTGTGACTGTAAGCTTGTTTGTCTTGCCTTGGCGGGTTGTGTAATAGATCCTCAACACGTGAAGCGTCACGTGTTGAGTGCGGGCCCGGCTTGTTTTGTCGGGCCTCGGCAGAACTGTCGGTCTGCGGAGCGCGAAAACTGAACCTTGCCCATAGGCCCGCCTGGGAACAAGAAACCGCTCGCACCTGCGTGGGAAGAAACCGCTCTGGACAGAACGACTGGATGCACGCCACCATGACTATGGCGCCGCGTAACGCAGGCAAAAGAAACCTCTCCACGTAATCAGGAGTTAATCCCGTACCAGGGATGGGCAGTATTTCAAATACATTGTGTATTTTGCGTTTGTAATTAATTACAAATTGGGAAATGTATTTGACGTGTGTATTTAAATACTAAAACGTGGGTATTTCAAATACAATTGTTATTAAATACAATTTTGTGGTAGAAAATACATCCCTCAAATTTATTGTCACTGTTCAGAGTAGGAAGAAAACTAGGTTCTGCACCGAATGCAGTGTCTCTCAATCAAGCACAAGCGTTTAGTGACTTTGTGATTACGGTGCTAGTCCAGGGCAAGAATAGTGACGAAATCGGCATTCACAGGCAGACTGGCTAAATAAGTGCCTGTGACCACTTGTGATGCTTTCCAGCCTGATTTCCATCCATACTTTTGTCTGGAACATTCTAAATGCGCGGGTCGTCCAGATTTTCGTAATTGGTGCGAGTTGCAACAATAAAAAATCCTCTAGCTAGTGCTGCGCGTCTTGGTCGTTTCGCTTCTTTGTTGGTCTATACCAAAATGTAATCGACAAAAAAAGCTGCTTGAAACTCTGTACTTTTTTCACCTATTACGTCCAAGCTGATTTCATTTTTTTTTTTGTGATTATATTTATATTACGTTACTAGAGCCTCGCTCAGTAACTCCCGAGTGTGCGATGCAAAATTAAGATGAGATACCCAGAAACCTGTTGTAGGTGCCCGAAGTCGCCGACGCAAATTTTGAGGAATGTATTTGGAAAAGTATTTGGAGGAGACCAAATACATTTGGTTGTATTTGTATCTTGTACTTAAATGCTTGTTTGGAAGTGTAATTAGATTTGTGATTAAATACATTTTTGACGAAGTAATTTGTATTTCGATAATATTTGCATGTATTTTGCCCATCCCTGTCCCGTACATTAATCACTATTTTTTTTTTCTTCACAAACCAACGCTGACACGACGTCAAGTTGCTGGGAGAAATTTTCCCGTCTGAAGCGGGCCTCAGCAATTTCGGGGTTGCTGGCGGGTTGTTCCTTAGCTGTCCCTCGATCGACTCGAATTGCTGAGTGCGGGTCCGTTTGAAGTGGCAGCAGCCAATCAGGGACGCGATATTTTGACATGATACACCGCGTGCCAGTGATGATGACAACTGAAGACTTCGTTCTGGTTTGAAATTGATAATTTTTTTGGAAATAGACCGTTTCAGAAAGACGAGTTAGCATTCTCAACGCCATTTGAAGGTATAAAAGACACGTTTGCAGCGCATAGCGGTGTGTCTAAATAGTGCAAGGAAAAAAAAAATTGTGACGAACACAGGCGGTCCGTGCTGCGACGTCAAGTTGCTGGGAGAAATTACCCCATCTGAAGCGGGCCGAATCAACGCAATCAGAAGTTTGTCCCCTCCTCTCCCTCAGTTTCTCGCGCATTCCGCCGCACAGGGTAGAAGGGCTATGCACGATGTTTCGGAGTGCGCCTGCTAGGAGTACGGAACGGGCACGGCTGCCGTGCGTCCGCGATAGTACAGCGTGCCCCCCCCCCCCCCCCCCCCCCACACACACACACACACACACACACACACAAATATGGTGTGTTTTTTTTCCCCCAAAATAGATTAAGTAGCGCTCAAATGTAGCGCTAACGGTCCGAACTAGATGCTTTTGAACTAACCCTTATCTTAAGCAAAAGTTACGTGTGATATTTTTTAAAATTTCAGTCGAAAAATGGGTCTTGTTTTCGCCCAGTTTCGGTTCGGTAACTGGTGCCCTTTCAGCGCCATGTATTCGAGAACTCCGCCTGCCGGTGGTGACGCGGTGACGGATAGTCTGGAAACCTGGGCATCCGGTCACGCATCATGGTTCAAACCGCTGGTGCTACATTTTGGGCGGAGAATAAACGTTCGGCGGTGCGTAGTTAATTTTTGCGGGAAAACATAACAAAAACAAAACGACAGCAACTCTCTCAATATTTTGGGGGGACGCTTAAAGTTTTCCGCAATTATTTGTTGCAACATCGGGACAATACAATTTCTGTTCTAAGCACTTCATAAGTTCATAACAGACCGCAAAAACGGCTTCTCAGCGTATCACGCTGCGATTTAGCACAGAGGTGCGGCTAGGTGGTGAATTATTTATGTCAAAATACCGAAGAATAAAATTACCTCATAAACGAAAAAAAAAAAAAAAAAAAAAAAAAAAACACCTGCTCTGGGCAACATACGGCGGCATAGCGGACGATGCGCGCCTACTTCGATGCACTACCGAAAGATGGCAGAAGTGTGCCCACTGCCAAGCGCTCGGAGCTTCCCAAGGTGATCACAGAGAGCGCCGAGTCGGGTTTCGGTTGGCGGACGAAAAGTTTGATTACGCTTCCTTCAGCATGGTGCGCGCCTCTGTAATGTACAATTTAAAATTAAATATATTTGATTTAGATTTCTATGTCATGTACGAGGAATGGGGGCCCTCCTCGGGACTTCTACGAAAATGTTCGGTTTAGGTGCCGCCTATCTTCGCAAGAGCCTAGATTTTAAGAAAGAGAGCCGCTGGAGCTAGGAAGTCGGTTTGCAGTTGCGTCGTTGCGTTTTATTGCGGACACCTTCTGCGGATATGAGTTTCTTACACATGCGTTGCTGTGTGGCGAGGACCGTAGCGGGGGGGGGGGGGGGGGGGGGGGGAGGGGAGGGGAGGGGGGGGAGGGGACGGGAGGGGACGCTAGGTATTTTGCTGTAATTGCGGGCTCCACATAAAGCCACTGGCTGACAGCGCCATTAATAACTTTACTGCAAATTTCTGAAAGTGGAACAAAGCCATTCGCAAATGAGAATAAGACAAAAATTTGTCTGATTCAGTGTTTTTTTTTTTTTTTTCTCGCCCAGGAAGACCGTCAAAAGATCCAGATCACCCAGACTGGGTGCCACATATCTTTGCCTTCAAAAGCTGGAGACCCCTTCAGAACCGCTCAGCCGTCCTACGCTACCAGCGTGCTGTCTCCCGTCGCCAAGCGTCGCTCCCTCGTGATCACACCGCGGTGTCAACGTCAGCTGCTGTAGTGGGTTCTGCCCCGAGCGAAGTAACCGAAGAAAATAGCAACTCTACGACGAGTGAAAGGACTGTCGAGGAGACTGGCATTTCTTGCTCAACGGACCTGACGGGTGCACAGATTGAATACCTCGTGGAAGAGAACAGGCGACTAAGAATGCAGTGCGATGTAATGAAGAGACAGTTTGCAACATTTGTTTCAGGCATGAATCTCAAAAGCATATGAGGAATGGAGTTTTTCACTGGATATTGAAGAGACAGTTTGCAACATTTGTTTCAGGCATGAATCTCAAAAGCATATGAGGAATGGAGTTTTTCACTGGACTATAGTCAGTTACAGGTTAAGAAGGTAGCGGCAAATGCTCCTCAAAGGGAATCGGATATCCCTCCGCCACCTCCGCATCCAATAGCGTCCCACCGTTTCCGTGACGTCGCGGACAACGCGCGAGGAGGGTCTTGCCTTTCTGTACATATTTGCTTTATATTTCGACTTTGACTTAGCATTGTGGAAGCCACGAGAGGGAGATTAGAGTTCTCCCCCACCGACGGAAACAAATACGACTTTCGGGGATTAGCTTCCCCCCCGATGGATACAAAGGCTGCTTTCAGGGGCTCGGTTCCCTCTCCGATGAATACAAAGGGAGACAAGTGGGAATCCATTGAAGCGGAACAAGGAGCGTTTCCAGGGAACTCTTCTTTCGACTGCGGAGAGATTTGAAACGGGCGCATCACACTTGTGGGAGGAGCTTCTCCTACCTTCTTCACTTGTAACCCCGAGAAGTTCGCGTGGCGCCCCCTTACGGCAAACCGGGGTGACGTCACGGCGAGGAGAGAATTTTTCCCCGGCTCGCCTCGCTCGCCCTGTGGAGGCTGTGACGACGCCAGCTGTCGGCGCGCTCGTTTCTATTTAATATTTTTTTCGCGTGTTTTTCGTAGGAAGTGTACATTTTTTTATGTGCCTTTATTGAGGTATGGCCTGTAGCTACATGCGAAACTTCAACCAACGTTTTAAGCATGGTTGACAGGGCAGGCAACGCATGAATCGCAGCTGGCATATGAAAATAAAGAAATATGGCCACAATTGCAGGAGCATCACTATAGATTTACATCTCGCACAATAAATGCTGCTGATGGTCTGAATGAATTGGCAGGTTATGTATACTATTTTTTTGTTTTGTATCTCCATTTTTAAACAAGATCGCCGAAGCAGAAAAGCTGCATGCTGCTCGGGCAACATGCTAAATACAGTCTGGGCCATCAAGAAAGAATCACAAGTAACACAGCTCAAGTGCAGGGGCAAAGTAAAAAAACAAAAAAACAAGGAACATTATATTATATACATTGCTCGCATTTAACCTTTGCTGGATTCGGATAGTATTTCAATGGACTACACGGGTGATATCTGTGGACTTGTTTATATCAACCCTCAAGTAATGTAAACAAACGTAAGCGAAGGTGTCTAGCTCGTTATTAGTCCGTTAAGCCCTAAAATTGAGATTTTGCTTAAATTGAATTGTCCTGAAGCTAAAATACCATAACCTTTTCTCACGTAGATTGTCGCCCTTCACAGGTTCCACATTTTGTGCTACTAGTGCTGCAACTACCACTGGACAAACGTTCGAATGCTTGCTTTTACTCCTGTTTTCCTCTGTTGTCAGAGAGTCCAGCTGTAGGGAGTTTGGAGGCTGAGGAAGCTTTTGGGGACTTGCAGCAGTGTCTCTTTTAATTGGAAATGAAAATTCAGACTAAACGGTGTTTTTTCCGAATACCCAAGGCTGGAATAAAAATATCAGGAAAAAGTATAAACATTCCGAATTAAGGCACTATTGCTGTGCATATTTTGGGCAGTTCAATACATATCATACAGGCAACTGGGGGCCATTCGGCCGTTTTTGGCTGCTACCATAAAAACTAATTTCCAGTAATTGTGCATAATTAATATGCCTGCGTACGTGTATAAACTATATACTGTAAACGACTACATTTTCGCGGGGGCCTAATTTTCGCGAATTTCGCGAATCACCTACAAACGCGAAAATACGTCCCGCGAACAATTCGGCCATTATGTGACCGCTACGGAAGCTACGCTCGATTCGCAAAAATTAGAACCCGCGAATAATTTCAGATTTTTAGCTTTGGCCCGATTCGCGAAAATCTGAGCCCTCGAAAATTAATTCGTTTACAGTAATTAATTTACGAAGAAGCTACATTTATGTAAAACAACCCTGTTCCATGAGCACTTCAAAGATAATCAGACACAGGGCCTTTAAAACATCTGCGAACCAGCACATACAGAGTGGCAGCGCAAAGGCGGAGTCCCGAGCGAATTTGCCGACCACCCAAAGGCCCATGATATAAATGCCACTTCAAATGCCTTAAAGCGGGATGTAATATCGTCCTAAATCATGAACATGCAAGGAACAGAAATCCAGCGTCTGAAACACTTCCGCCATCGCTTCACCGATCCCTCGCAAAATTGCCTTGTGTCGAGTGGACGGGCGGGGAGGTTCATCGGCGGAATTGCTTCCGCCGATGGCTTTCGGGATTTGTAACCCAATTTTAAAGGTAAAGGGGACAAGCAGGCTTATAAAATGTACGGAAGCACTTCAATATCGGCCTAACTCAACGTCTTGTACACCGGGTAAACGAAATCCAGCTCCTCGAAGAGCTTGGGGCACACAACGCCAAACCAGGAAACCGGTGCTGGGAAGCGAGCCGATGCGAGATCGCGGAGCGGAGTCCCCTCCCTGACGTCACGGTTCGCCTCACCCAATCAGGGCGTGGCGACCGCAGCGACGCTTGTGTCCGCTCTCGGGGCTAATAGCTAGCAGCAGCATGTTTTAGGCGCTTCTGGAGTATATATTGATACTTCAGTATAAACCGATTTTTCACACAATAGCTTCCTCTATTGGCGACGTGCGCGACCGAAAGCGTCGCTGTGGTCGGCCTTCCACGATTCGCCCAAAAGCTGACTATGACGTCGGAAAGGGTATACCATCGACGGAAATAAGAGGATTAAAGAACTTTAATTTCGGCGCTGTTGGCAGTGTTGCTTTGAGAGCGCAATGATTTCAGGCTTCCACCATGCTATTTACAAACACCATCGAGCTTGTTGTTCGCAAGGTAATGACGTCACAAGGGGGAACCATGGGAGGGCGCCACCAAAACATCTCGCCGCTAATATTCACAAAGACTGGCAGTTCGACGACGGAGCCATAGAGTGCCCGGTCGCAGATTTGGAGCGCGAGGATCTGGTAGCATAGAGCATTTCTCGGGGAACCTGATCGTCAGCGCACAGCTTTTGCAGTAGCGAGGACCCGAAACAGGGTTTTCAAACCCGACGAGAAAAGAAGCCGTAGCGCGAGGAGCACGAGCGGACATACCATCGCTCGGGAGATGTGTGTTTCGGCGTCTGGCCGCAGCGGGACGCCGAAACACACTTCTCCCGAGCGTGACGTGACCCTCCTCTCATCCGTTGTCTGCCGCTCCACCCTTTCAATTTCGGCGGCCGCTTCTTGTGGCGATCTCACAGGCTTTGTCAGTATTAGCCCCGAGAGCGAGCACAAGCGTCGCTGCGGTCGCCACGCCCGGATTGGGTGAGGTGTACTGTGACGTCAGGGGGAGTACTCCGCTCCGCGATCTCGCATCGGCTCGCCTCCCAGCACCGGTTTCCTGGTTTGGCGTTGTGTGCCGCAAGCTGTTCGAGGAGCTGGACTTCGTTTACCTGGTGTGCAAGACGTTGAGTTAGGCCGGTATTGACGTGCTTCCGTACATTTTATAAGCCTGCTCGTCCCTTTTACTTTTAAAATTGGGTCAAAAATCCCGAAAGTTATGGGAGGAGGCAATTCCGCCGATGAACCTCCCCGTCCGTACACACGACACAAGGCAATCTTGCGAGGGGTCGGTGAAGCGATGGCGCAAGCGTTTCAGACGCTGGAATTCTGTTCCTTGCACGTTCATGATTTAAGACGATATTAGATCCCGCTTTCAAGACATTTGAAGTGGCATTTATATCATGGGCCTTTGGGTGGTCGGCAAATTAGCTAGCGATCCCGACTCTGCGCTGTCACTCTGCATGCGCTGGTTCGCAGAAGTTTTAAAGGCCGTGCGTCTGATGATCTTGAAAGTGCTCGTGGAACAGGGTTGTTTTACATAAATGTAGCTTCTTGGCGAATTAATTATATAGTTTATACAAGTATGCAGGCATATTTCTTAGAAGCTGCACAATTACTGGAAATTAGTTTGTATGGTAGCAGCAAAAACGGCCGAATCGCCCCCATTTGCCTGTATATGTATTGAACTGCCAAACTATGCACGGCAATAGTGCCGTAATATGGAATGTTTATACTTTTTCCTGACATTCTTTATTCCAGCCTATTCCGAAAATACACCGTTTAGTCTGAATTGTCATTTCCAATTAAAGGAGACACTGCTGCAGGTCCCCAAAAGCTTCCTCAGCCTCCAAACTCCCTACAGCTGGACTCTCTGACATCAGAGAAAAACAGGAGTAAAAGCAAGCATTCGAACGTCTGTCCAGTGGTAGATGCAGCACTATAGCAGCAGAAAATGTGGAACCTGTGAAGGGCGACAGTCTGCGTGAGAAAAGCTTCTGGTATTTTAGCTTCAGGACAATTCGATTTAAGTAAAATCTCAATTTTAGGGCTTAAGGGGCTAATAACGAGCTAGACACCTTCGCTTACGTTTGTTATACATTACTTGAAGGTTGATATAAACAAGTCCACAAATACCACCCGTGTAGTCCATTGAAATACTATCCGAATCCAGCAAAGGTCAAATGCAAGCATTGTATATAATAAATGTTCCTTGTTTGTTTTTCTTACTTTTCCCCTGCACTTGGGTTGTCTTACTTGTGATTCTTTCTTGATGGCCCAGACTGTATTTAATATGTTGCTCGAGCATCCTGCAGCTTTTCTGCTTCGGCGATCTTGTTTAAAAACAGAGATACAAAAAAAAAATAATATACATAACCTGCCAATTCATTCAGACCATCAGCAGCATTTATTGTGCGAGATGTAAATCTATAGTGATGCTCCTGCAATTATGGCCATATTTCTTTATTTTCATATACCAGCTGTGATTCATGCGTTGCCTGCCCTGTAAACCATGCTTAAAATATTGGTTGAAGTTTCGGCAGTAGCTACAGGCAATACCCCAATAAAGGCAGATATAAAAATTTACACTTCCTACGAAAAACACGCCAAAAAAAATTAAATAGAAACG